TTTTCTTTACTTCTTTTTTCTCATCATCTTACCTGATTGTTATGTATTTGATAAGGTATATAAGAGGTATTTTCATTTTACATTATTAAGTGAAATCAGCTGTATTAAAAACATTATCTGATTTTAGTTGGATTTGTAACAACGAGCTCAATTCACACGAAGAATCCAAAACATTCTTGTTTTATAATTATAAATGTACGTAGTAATTTTAAACTCAAAGACATGGGATAATCAAACACCCTTGAAATTCCCATGTTATTAGAAAGAAAGTTAATTTCACTTTAACATCACACCCGCTAAACAATAGAATGTGAGAAATTCGAAGCTATTTTATTGTATGGTTAAGAATTTTATGACTCACAATTTACTGTAATAATCAACATTATTAAATACTTGGGCTTATTATGATAAAATTAATATTTGAATCATAAATTACTTATTAATTATTCAAACACGTGTGAACTGGCTGTTATTAAAAAGAAAATTTTAAAAGTATATCTCCTGTTTGAATTTGGAACTTTAGAACTTTGGAATACATATTTGGTTCCAAATTTAAATTATTTTTTCAATGTATTGAGATGGAAAGGGTCTTCAAAACGACAGGATGATGCGTAAAGGTTCAAATACTGAGAACGCATTGAGGCATGTATTATGTATATACAGGATGATTATAATTACATAATAGTAAAATAGTAGCTGTATTTAAAGTTTCTTTAAAAGATCTTAGACCAAACATAAATCTAAAAATTCACAGGACAACATATATTCAAATGCTACAAATGCTTTTAGTGAAAAAAAAAGGTTCTTGTGAAGGAAGCATTTATAAAATCAGCGATATTAGATTTTTTATATTGGTCAAAGTGATTTAGGAACAGGGCATCAGAAAATGCAATAAGCAAGATTTTATCTCTATTGTTTTTAAGCAGATTAACAATTGATTTAACTTTTAAACTTTCAATAGTAGCAACTATTCTAATACTTGTTCGAGTTTAAAACGTTACCTAAACCTGTGGTCTACAAGGAATGTCGTTTTTGTTAAAAATTAAGAGGTGTGTAAACAATATGTCAGTGGCTCTCAACCTTTAAGTAATTAATTTTTTAAGCTTTTTTTAACATGTAAATTATTATATTATTTTATTGCTTTTTATAACTTTAGCTTTTGTGTTAAAATCTGCAGAAAATTATACAAAGGCGTGTTTAATTATCTTATTACTAAAAAATATATATATTATTGTAATGTTATTTTAATATAAATAACATCACAATTAACACTTCGTCAAACTATAAGGCCCTTTGTACACAAAGCAACGTAAATCTTTAAAGCCCGACGATTTTGGTCGCTAAGCAACTTACGATATACAATGTCGTAGTAGTTCGTACACAGCATGCATAGCGGATATTATGTTCTTTGTCTGTACCATTCGTGATGACGATTTGTCGCTCATTGTTACGATCGCGCACAACGCGATACTAGTACTGAAAGTATAGGATTTAAGATTTACGTTGCCTTGTGTGCGAATGGTCTAAGGCAACAAGAGATTTCCCACATTAAGGCTATGAGGGAACAGAATCCCACATAACTACCGTGCCTTCCCCGAGACACGAAATATGTCTAAAACATTCCCCTGTGAAAAAAGGCAATTAGAGATTTAAGTCCTAACTTTTTAAAGTAATCAATACAAACATTTCATGTTACTTTGATTTTATTACTAAGATTATTTAAATTAAATCAAAAGACAGTTTGAGAATCATCGATGAAAAGAATCTAGTAAAGAATTAGTTGAAAGTAAAAATTAAGTTAAGAAAACGAAAGTCCGAGTGAGATCTATGTCGACTGGTTGTCATGACGATGATTCTCGAAAACTTGCACACGCCTCGTCTTTTATAACCCGCGGATTAGATGTTTGTGTAATTTCGAGCATAGTCTCAAATATTTGGTCACCTTCTTCGATGAACGTTCTTTCTTTTAGTTGACATATCAAATAGTGGTATTATTTAAAAAAAGTCACCTTGTACTTACAAATTAAAAACAAAATAACATGTAATTTTCCTTTTTATTTCTATTCTATTCAAAAGGTTGAGAATCCCTTTCAATTTTTTTAATTTAAGATAAATTTAAGTTACTTTGATATTGAAACTTGACAATGACCTAGGCACATAAGCCTTCAAAGCAGGGTCTGTTAACGTAAGATGCGTGGGACTGCAACGAAATAAAATTTTCGTTGTGAAAATATCGGTTATTTTGATAAATATTTTAACGCATTGCCCGATTTATAATAATTGCAAATATATAAGTAAAAATGCGAATGTTTAGATGGCTCGTTGTTTGTTTGAAAGTATGTCCAGAACGGCTCGACGGATTTTGATGAAATTTGCCACACATATGGAACTTAGTCTGGAAAAACACATTGGCTACGCACTAAGTTTTTTTTTATTCCACGCGTACGGACACTCACAGGCGACAGCTAGTACAATCTTATTATAATTATATACAAGTTAACTACTTATGTTGTACTTATTTACATTACTAATTTGAGGTACCTGATGCAACTTACTTCAAACTACACTGTTTTACTCTACCAAGGAAACTATAGGAAGGGGAAATGTATTAATCGTTATAAGGGGACATATATTTTTTCTGTATGTACATCCTCTCGTCTGTCCATTAAATGTTTGATACATATGCATTTAACTTGTAGATATCTATGAGTAAAGATGGCTTGCATTTGCCCTGTTATACTAAAACATACTAATTTTGCTCAATTTTTGTTGCAGTAAATATTACTTTAAAGATCACAGATCTGAACGAGTTTTCATAACATGCGTCAAGGCAACTAATGAAGCGTTATCGATTACTAACATGCTCTGAATTACACTACAGTTAATCATTTGAAAGCCGTAGAAAACTTACATATAATAAGATGGTTCTAATATCTTGTTAATTTTATAGTTTATACATCAATATGCAATTTACTAAAGAACAAAACTTTTATAAGTGGTTGCCGTTTTTTTAAAAGAGTCATAAGTCACAGGTCAAATGTGTATATTGAGTTAGGAAATCGAAAACTATCTGTTTTGGTAAATTACTTGCTGGATTTAACGGTGATAGACGCCAGCAACAAGCTTCCCCTTTGCTATACGACTATATAGAAGATACACGTCAAAGTAATTCCATGTACAGTCTGACGATAAATTTTAGATCGGCAATAAAGTATCGAATAATTCATCGCCTATACAAAATAATTTTAAATTGTGCTCCGTAAAAAAATAAAAAAAGATGATTTTTCAAATATTATTTTTAACTAACCTTCCAAGGTCAATAACATAACATGCCTTGAGATACACTTAAGTTCAGATTTTGTTTCGTTAATAAGATGTTTGAAAGTAAAAACAAATATTTTTTCAATTTTTGAATGGAATAGAATATTTATTTATTGCCACGAACAACTAAAAAAATGTAGATTTAAAAAAAATAGATTAAATAAATTACTGCCCGTTATTTTTTAAATATTCAGTATTTCTGTTAACTACATTTATCATATTAATAAGTAATATAAATCCACTTTCTTAATGATTGAATTAAAAAAAATAAAACAATTTTAACTTTTTTCCTACTATATGTGTTCTTATCAAAGTCACCGAGCAACAAATGAATTTTCATAAAACAAGCCGCTTATATCGAGTTCTCTCCAACATTACCATAAAGTTATACAATTGTTAAACAGAGTTTTCTATTGATTTTGGTAATGGGTGTCACTGGCTCGTATGGTTTGTTTTAATAAATAACGAAAATATCTTCTATGTAAATACACCACTTTCTCAAGCGTAACTCGTTAGAAATTCATTTTTAATTAATATTATACGTTACAGTTTTACCTAACTATAGCTTTGATGTTTTAACAGATCTTACTAATATCTAGATCTTATAAATGCGAAAGTTTGAATGGATGTTTATGTATATACGGAACGGTTGAATGGATCTTGATGAAATTTAGCACTGATATAGAACATAGTTGCTTTTTTAATTTTACGTGACGAAGTCGCGGCTATTAGCCAGTATTATAAGTATAAGTAATTAATCCCCATTTCCACTACTGAAATACCATTGCAAAATCATTCTCTTCTATCTTCTGTAATAAAATAGCTAAGAAATTATACAACTATGAAAATATATCCTTTACTAGTCGCCCGCATCTCCGTTGCGCTTATTTAAAAACATAATAAATAGCCTATGTGTTCTTTCAGACTATGTTCTACATCCATCTCAAATTACATCACGATGCAGCCGTTCTGAGATGAGATACCTACAAACATCCATCCATCATCCATTTTAATTCATAAACTTAATTAAAATTAACTTAAGTTATCCAATATTGGTATCAACTGTCCAATATTGTTCATAGTAACATTAGAGTAACATAAATAGTAAACTAAGTAAATCTCTAAGTTACAATCTTGATATGAATAAGGATAATAAATAACTTCCCGTCGTCCAACATTGTATCCACTTTCAAAGAAAAACTATTAAACATCTGAATACTATTTTATTTACTTTGTCATATTCGTTGAACATAAATGGATAAATTTTTCGTCATAATATTATTTAAATAGCAAAAATATAACCAAAATTTTAATAATTTTAATATTCAATTAAATTAATGATCTTTTTTAATAAAAGTTAAGTCCTTTATTTGTGCAAGTTTTTATATAACCTTTGAAGTGTAAATTGGAAACTATAGTGAAAAATTACTTGATAAAATATCTTAAAACGTTTTATAGACATTCCACAAAAACCATCTATCTTTTTTTTATATTTAAAGAAAATATTTTAGATAAAAGCTAATATTTACAAAGCATACTTATTTGCATAAACATTAGGGTCCAAACTGATTCGAATATCATCTGTAACCCAGATGGGAGGTTCGTATGGAGCAAATAGACGACTGAGTGGGGGGGAAATGATAAAACTGTATGTCTGCTTCGCCATCTCACCAAACACAGCCGGACATCACTCGATGTCAGAAAAATTAGAAAAGTGAAAATAATAAATAATATTTTTAACGAAAATGAAGTTCACTCTCGTTCTTGTGATCGCGTTAGGTGCCTTCGCTGCAGCCGAAGAAGATAATACAATGGAAATAGCTTTAAGCTTCGTCAAGGATTGCAAAGGGGATTACTTCTTGTGTGTTAAGGTTCATAATATTTTTTATTAAAGTGTAAAGTGTTAAGTGTTAAATGTGATTAAGTGTAAAGTGAATCAAATATTTAATTATCAATCTGTGATTAATTTTAATTATTAAATAATTAACAACATTAATTAATAAAATAGTGTTAACTAATAGAATATGTAATGTAGAAAACATAATTTTTCTTCTCAGGAAAAAATGCTGAAAATGGTCGATAATCTGAGGGCATCTCGTAGAATAACTATAGCTGAAGGTGTCGTCTTGAAAGGGGAACCTGATGTGCGATCCCCCAAGAAACTGGACTCTTTACCTGTGGACCCAACAGCCAGAGATGCTGAAGTCAACTACAGACTCATGGACGGTGTCGTCAGCTTGTTTGAAACCCACGCTCTTGAGGTCAAGATGAATCCCGCTGATAAAGAAACCGTTCAAAGATCTTTGGAAGAAGGTAACAAATTAAACAATTAATAATAACATTCAAAATTAATTTTGGACAAAATTAATACCATCATACTTCAAGATTATTTTAAGTTAAATTATTAACATATTACTTTAATATGTTGATTTATTTTCAGGTCGCGGTAAAGGTGGAAAGAAGGGAGGCGGCGGTATGGGAATCATCGGTCTTCTCGCCGCTAAGATGCTCCTCGGAAAACTCTTCATCGTCAAACTGATCGCTCTGAAGGCCTTAGCTACCGCCAAGATTGCCCTAGTCCTTGCTGTCATCCTCTTCGTAGCCTGGTGTATGAAACATGACCATACCAAGACGACATACGAAGTTGTACCACACGCCCACCACCATGAGTCTCATCATCCCGTTCATGTGGAACATCTTTCACATGATGCTGGCCACGGCCATGGTTATAGCTCAGGATATGGCTCTGACTGGAACAAGAACATCGATGAAGCGCAGAACTTAGCCTACGGTGCTTACTCTCATCACAGAAAGTAATTACCAAAAAAAATTGTAACCTCAATAACCTCTATTGTACAAAGATTTATTTATTTAATTTATTTAACTTATTGTTATTAACTTATTGCTCTATATCGTAAATAAATGTTCTTTTGAGTTTTACTGTTCGTTTCCTTTCGATTTCTATGGAAATATTTGATGGGAAAGTATTGATAAATTGAATGATAAAATAACTCGTAGAGATATTTATTTGAAAACCACAAGTTCGTAGAAAGTTAGAACCATAATATGATGATATTGAATTTTTTAATTAACATAATAGTTTCATCAATCAACCTTAAATTTCCATTACTATTTTCGTGAGTACTACTTAAGTCTTTGTGTAAGCGTGGATTTCCACGGATACAATCGTACTAATAAAAATTATTACTGTATTTGTGTTTATGTTTATGCAATGTAAACCTACCTTAAAACTTATAATATAATCTACGGATAGTAAACTTGTAAGACATTGTATTATTGACTCTCATGATATTGTAAATATCAAACAACGTTACCTAACGTTTTCACTCTCTCTAATATGTTTATTAATGTTTGTTCCACATTTAAAAGTGAATAGTTATTAAAAGATATTCGAGAAATCTCTACGACAGGTTAACGGTCGTGTGGACCACGTGCGAGTGGTCAAAGAAACTGGTTTTAAGTTATTTAAAGGTTTAACTTTCTATAGATGAAGTTATCTATTGTTTAATCCAAGTTAATTATTACTTTAAGCGCATACTTAAGTGAAATACTTAAGAACGATTCAATCTAATTTCCTGTAATTAATGTTCGAATTTTCTTTTGTTAATGTCTGTACCTCTTTTGTTAATCGTATTTTTTTCTAATTCAGAAAAAAATGCGAATGTTTAGATGGATGGATGAATGGATGGATGTTTGTTTGTAGGTCTTTGGAACAGCTGCATAGATCGCGATACTTATTAATTGTTTTTAATTCTGCGCGGACAAAATCGCGGGCGAAAGATAGTGTTTGAATATTTCCGCTTTTTGGCATATTGAAAATATATGATGAGAAAGTGACGATAAATTAGAAATTCCGCCTATAACGCGTTGTAATCGCTTGATAGACGGCAAGAGTTTCTAACTCCTACACAATACGTCGTCCGTTTATCTCCATTAGAACTTTCCACGTTACATCTTAATTGATTAATTACTAACTTTAATTGTTACATAAATCGTTATAAGAATTATTCGCAACTCTTTCACATATACGCATTCATTTGTTCCAACTATTTCACGAAAAAGAGATTGATTACATTAATAGTCGTCGCCGATGCCGTTCGCGTGGAATTAAACAAAAACTAAATTAGTAGCCTGTGTGTTCTTCCAGACTATGTTCTATATGTATGCTAAATTTCATCAAGAAATGTTGAGTCGTTCCGGAGATACTTTCAAACAAATATCCAGCCATCTAAACATTCAAATTTTTTATATTATAGTAAGATAGGCTATGATTTTAAATGATTTTAGTCAATACATTAAGGTATGTCATTTCTATACTTTTTGACTTTTAACTGAGACACAGTCTATTTGTTTCTTTATTATACTTAATTAAAACGTTGGATTTTCTCTTTACATTAGTAAAGGTATATATTTAAATGAATTGATAGAGTTATGTAGAGAAACTCTTTCTAAGAAAGCCTTTCATATTTTAACAATATGCTATGTATTAAGATATAAAAAATATACAAGTCATGCCATTGTAACTTAGAGAACGATTGAAACTTTGATTACTAGATTACATTGCAAATATCGTATAATAAATATAATTATTCAATTAATAATAATAAACTGAATAAAATTACTAAATATAAAATAGTAATAGTACTGAATATTTTCTGTGTCTTTCATAATAAGTTTTTAACAATATGTAGCCTAGTGTTTAATTGTTGGTGTATTTTTGGAAGTTATTTTTTTTTGTATTAGGTATTCCTTCCAAGTAGGGTTGGTGTGAGGCAGCGGCTGGCGTACAAAAATAAGGCAAAAGCTTAAAGTTTATAAAAACTTTGTACGCCGACCCCACATGAGTGGCACAAGGACACTGAGTACTGAGCTTTTTACTGATTTTAGAACTGTAGTGTGAAGTTTATGACGAACTTTTACGCAAAAGTTTACTAATATTTTACTCATTGCACTCTTAATTATTACATTACGAAACAAGGACACTTAACTTCAAGTTAGACAAAATACAACTTTAAGTACAAAAATAAAAAAGTAGTTATAAAAAAAAATTAGAACAGCTATTTAAGTTGCAAAACATAGAAAATTCTAGTAACCAAGTCATATAAATGCTGTGACAGGAAGCAAGTGCTTAAGTAAGATGACAGTCATTACGTGCAATAACGACCATCGGACCGTGAGAGCTTGATTAAGCAGGCCGTGGACTTGATTCAAGCTTTCAAATTGATTAAAGCTCAAATCTAATACATAAAACTTCGAAAGTAATATTACCTAATATCAAATATATAATAGACAAAAACACAGTTTAAATTTATTTTTTATATTTATTTCAATTTAATATATATAAAAAATAAGTATGTTTTTAAATTTAAATCATAATTTACCAAAGTATGTTATCATAGTTAACTTTAAAAATGTATTACTTACTAGTGACTTTTTAAATGCACCCGTTTAAGTCTTTTATATGAAATGAAAGTAATAAATTTTAGGAAAGCTCAATAAAGGTGTATCATTTTTTAAATAATAAATCTAAGTTTGCAAATATAAATGGGCATTGCTCTTTCAAGTACAAGGTTATTAGAACACTGGCAGCGTTCCAAAGACATTGTATTGTGAATTGCGTCATTTCTTTTTATGCGACTTTTTGTGAATGACTCAATCGTTTCGATTCGATCTGTACTCATTTGTAACTCAATAAGTGCTGATATGTCATTATTAGTCTTTTTACTCATAATATTAAATTGGAATAGTAACTAACTTAGGCCTAGTACAATTGAAAAAAAAAACTTTATTAAAAAAAACTTTTTCTTACATAATTCGACTATTGTCTGTTTTACGTGCTTTACTTTAACGTTGCAAAGAACTTTTAATTAGTCGATAATAAACTTATTTAAAATATTTTGATTAGCATTCTCTAGTGCATAAAAAAGACTACTATTACAGTGTACTAGATATCAGATATGAACGACGCTAACGTAACAGGCTAGTGTGCCATTGCCACTAAGTACTTAACGCATCGAAATAAGGAAACACGCATAGTGGTACAAAAACATAAAATTACGATCATTAGCTGACACTGGCCTCCGTAATACATAATGAGTATGCTGGCGCCATAGAGACGTTCACCTTTATAAAAGAAAAATAAAAAAAGAAATATATTTTTTTATTTTTTTATACACAAAACTGTTGGCAATGTTTATAACGCACAAATGGCATTGAGTAAGCACCTGTAGAAATTCTTGCGGCAATGTTGCGACCGCGACATTGATCTTTTCAAGGCCAAGGCGTACCTAGTTCATTGCTACTTACTTCCGGTCGGCGAGACACATATTCTTTGCTGTTATATTTTTATCAGGCGTTAAGTAAACTCTAAAAATAATTGCAATTCGATGAAATTAATAAGTGAAAAAGCTCCAAAAATTATGAAAAAAAAACTGAACTACAGATAGATGTATGATGTGTTTGCTTTATTTCGTAACAGAAATTGATAATAAAAAATCAAGACTATTGGGTACAAGCTAATTGTTAACGAATGCTTTCCTATAATATAATCTTGGATAATATTAAATGGATATAATCTTTCATTTAAAATTCACATATAGCAGACACTGATTATCTGGATCTCTGTTACCCAGATTATAATCCCAACTACAGGTGCTACGTCACCAGCATCTCGCGAGATCTCTGTTCTTCCTTATTGTTTTAGTTATTTAACAAATCGTATGTTGAAAAATGTATCCCAAATTTCCAAGTTATTAATTAGTTACTTAATTAGTTATTATTCTTAAAAGTTACGTGTTTGTTGTTATTCATAAACATATTTGTTGTATTCACAAAAGGTGATTATATTTATCTTACTAATATTACAAATGCGAATGATTAGATGTATGAATGTTTGTTTGAAGGTATCTCCGGAACGGCTCAACGGATCTAGCTGTAATTTTCCATAGATGTAGAACGAAGTCTGGAAGAACACATAGGCTACTTAGTAAGATTTTTTTTAATTCCTTGCGGACATAGTCGCGGGCGACAAAAAGTACTTTATATTTTATCTGCTACCTCATAGCTTTCCATTTCACAATTCCTTGGGTGGCATTATACATTTAGTATTTGTGTCATGTACAACACATTATATTCTTGTAAAATCGAGCGTAGCATAACATTATAGTGTTTTATGTTAAAATTAGTCATATATGTAAAAACAATGCCTTTAATGGAATATAAAATACATATTAGTTTGATGTTAAGTAACTTCGATTTCTAGTAACATTCAAGAAACTTGTACTTTTTAATAAGGTTCAATGTAGAACTGGGCTTTTGCTTAATGTAGTCAAATTCTATGGCTCCTACGTAAACTATCGTAAGTCACAATTTAGCGATTTATCATCCTGTTTTTTTAACATAAATAAAAAAAATTGAATTTGAAAGCGTTAAAAATAGAAATGTAGATTTTATAATAGTTAATTGTATGCTTATGTACATATGTATGTTGCGTTATTGACCTTATTAATGTTCAATAGTTTTGTCTTGATTTTTTTTTCTCTTTATTTTTTAGGGATTTTCGTTCTTTTCAACATGTCGGTCCCACAACATTCACCTTAGGAACTGATTACAACTAATTTTGTCATGATGCATTTCAAACGTACGATAGTTTATGTATGAGTCATTAAAGTTGACATATAACATTTTACATATTTCATACGATATGTATCTTAGTATTTTTTAAAATTTTCTCAATGATTTTGTAGTTTACGAATTTTACATCTAAATTACATGACAAAAAAGCTTATGTATGTCTTAGGTAACTTCAAGTATTAATTTGAAAGTATGAATGAATTCATTTAAGTAAGTCGTAGCACATAACTAAATACATAGAATCGCTTTCCCAATATCACGATATATTTTACATATTTAAGGGATTCGGAGTAAGGAATTATAAAGAGTACATTGTAATGTTCATTGAAGTTTATTATTTAACAATTCTTTAATAAATTACAGGCAAACATACGTACAAACAAACAAAAAATATAACGCGTATGGTAACAAAACAAACAAACAAAATCAAAACAATAAAAAAACAAAACTTGGTGGCGACGATTTCTAAAAGTTAAAAATAAAATATATGCATGAATACTTAATATAATTGAAAAAAATAAGGACAAGAATAAAATATAAATATAAAAGAAAACATAAACATAAAAATATATGAAATTATGAATAGATATAACATTTGTATATAAATCTTATATAAATATGATACGAAATTAATAAATATACTTCAATATATAGCAATACTATAAATATAAATAAAATAGATAAATATATAATAAATATTTACACATAAAACATATTATAATAATATCACAAAATTAAAAAAAACAAAACTAAAATCCGACATCATACAAATTAAAAATCCTTTTCAGTCAGATTATAACAAAAAAACAAAATAAAAAGAATAACAACATAAAATGACCGAAAAGAAAAACAAAATGAACTAAAGAAAAAAAAAACAATAAAAACCATACACACTCACACGCACACAATAAATTAATCAATAAATAGCTTCGAAAATTATTTAACAAAAAATAGCTTCCAATTTTTGTACCCGGAATAAATTATTTGGTTATATTCTATTGACTATACGCTGAGTAAGCTAAGTTACTAGCATCATTTTTAGAACGGGACCAACCGCCATCCCAACCTCCATGAGGTGGATGTTCCTCATGAGCAGTTACCCAGGTATGCTCTTCTTGCGCATGCTTCTTGGCGATAAGTGCCTTCACAATGGCGATAACTTTGGCGATGAACGCAATCTTGGCAATAAGAGCGAGCTTGAATACGGATGCGGCGATAACAACAAGGGCTAATACAACGATGGCGACGGCTTTGACCTTGGCTAAGATGGCAAGAGGGATGAGGAGTTTCAACTTCTTCTTGATCTGCTTCTTCTTCTTTCCACGGCCTTCAGCTGAAAATATACAGTCAGTTAAATAAATTTGAAAATTCAAGCAGCTAATTATCTGATACCATAAACTCTCTAAAAAATATATCGTCATCCTTGTCATCTTTGAAAAAACATAGACAACTAAATGTTTTTAAAAGAGATTTTGGTCTTAGAAACCCACGGTTATTTAATAAACGCTAAGTAGTTTTGATTTAGCAAAAGATTGAAATTGTTTTCCCTAATTCACAAGATAACTAGGAATGCAGTTTAGAATAATGCTTATGTGAACATAAAATATTGTTGGCCGATGATTATTGACCTCTGGGTCAAATTACACTAAGACGTGATAAAATGTTCGTGAAAGCTTCTTATAATTTTATATGCAGTAATAAACAATCACTTTCCTTTTTATAGAGACAAAGTCTAATTTTGTACATTAGTTTTATGTGATAAATAATTTTAAATTTTATGAATTAAGTATTTTTTTTTGTAATGTCCAATGAAAATATCACAAGATTGATACGGTGTTGATTAATATAATAAAAATGATAAACAGTACGTAAAATTAAAAACACAAGTCAGCTGATTTAGTTTAAATTTAAACATTAACACTCTTGTAGTGCCAATTGCTTTTGTGTTTACTAGCTATAGTCCACGACTCCGTCTGCGCGGAATTAAATATATGCGTGTACTGCTCCAGACTATGTTTTCCATCTACACCAAGTTTCAACGATATATGGAGATATAATACTAACATCCATACATCCAAACTTAGCTCAATCAATAACGGAACAAACTGGAATATAATTAACGTAGAGTTACACTGTCGCGATACTTTTATTAACAGATATTGTTGTCTCAGTTTTTTCAAAGAAAAGAAAGGGATGACAATGTCTATTAATTCAAGTTACGGCAGTGTAGTTCTACTGTTCGGTGTTTTCTTCGAAATGTCATATCAAAATAACCGTTAAACTAACCATACGTTTTATGTGTAACCGTAAAATGAAAAGTAGTTTATAGCCACCGGACAAACAACTAACTAGAAAGAGAAATTTCAACAGATTTTCTACTAAAAAAACACTATAATTTTTCTCATATTTTACTAATGTTATAAATGCGAATGTTTGAATATATTGAAGGATGTTTGTTAGAAGGTATCTCCGGAAGTGCTGCATGGATCTCACTGAAATTTGGCTTATATGTAGAACATAGTCTGGAAGAACAAATGCCTCTCATTATTTTTTTTCAATTCCGTGCGTATGGAGTCGCTGGCGACTGCTACTCATATAATATAGATAATTGTCAGAATATCGTCTTTATAATACGTTTTTGAGTTTAGTTTAGAAGTAGGTATTTATTTTGGTATCTGTTTTTATTAAAAGGAATGAAAGTGATAATAATAATATCAATATAGTGAAATTCTACGGTGAAAACAACGTGAGAAAACATATTAAGTAAATTAAATCTCAACATTCTCTTTGTTTTGGAAAGTCTGTTAAAATTTATAATTGCTTGAAGATTTACGCACTGCGTGCTTTGTGAATAGTTATGTGAGAGTGTTTGTTGTTTTGTTACTGTAAAATTCCACTGACGAAATACTTATAATATTTTACGGAGTCTTTTAATTGAAGAAAATGTTTGATAGCATTAACAAAAAAATGAATGACTTATAATTTATTTTCAGTACATTTTTTTGTATCTTTTTAACACAATGCACTACTCTCAGATATTATTTTATTTATGTATATCTTTTTCTATTAATAAAATAAATGTAATGTTTTTAGAAAAAAAAATTAACTTTTACTTAAAAAGCACGAAGTTTAATTTGTTTTCAAGCTGCATAATTTTATTTAAATTGCAAACTCGAAAAAAACGTTTTTTTTATCAATATATTTTTTCGTTTAATTTTTGATTGCTAACTTACCCTCATCAAGGGACCTGGATTCTTCATCATCATCATCAGAGCCATTGAAACTGAGTTCTAAGTCACTCTTCGTGAGTAAATCTGAGGCGCTCTCCCAAAGTCTTTCGTTAACCTGTCTGCTTCTCAATTCAGGATCCGTGGCTAAAGGCTCCAAGCTTCTGGCTTCTTTAGGACCGTTATTGTACAGAGTAACTCCTTCAATAATGTTGAGCTTTCTCACTGTGCCGAGTCGTTCAGTAGCTTTTAAAGCTTGTTCCTGTGAAATAATTAACTTATTAATATTTTGTAGTTTTATAAATAGTTTTTTTTATATATACTGAATGTAGTGTTTTGTGAATGAAATAGTGTAATCATTGTTAAACATGGAATTATTTTATTTATTTGTCACTAATATTTTAATAAGAGGGAGCTTTTTCATGTTCAGTTTTTCACTTTAAAAGCTTATGTTTTTTAACGGAATAACACTGTTGTAATATCGATCGTCGAATAACGAACACAACATAAACGCAAGTCGCGCAAAGAAAGTGAGGGAATGTCACATACGAAACCAGTTCGTCCTTTCAACTTCGATCTTAAGAAAACGTTCCTTTATGTTTTGTTTTAAAACACTGAATTACCTTTAAACACATATTTAAATCACTGTTCATGCAATTCACAAAGTTTCCTATCACCGATTTCATCACTGAATCTTCTTGAGCCAAAGGCACACATCTTGCTAGAGCCACAACACTTAATAATATGATGAACTTCATCTTTTTTATTTTTTTTTAATTTTTGTCGTACGTCCTCAAGCGGGGCCGATTGGACAGTGTTCATCGGCAGATTGGTAAGAGTTTTTTATCTAAATTTCCCCCACTATCCCGTTTGGTCACATTAACATTTTAATGTAATTGATGCCATATTCAAGACGCAGAAGACATTATGCCATTGTGAGTGACATAGTTATTTTTTCATTAATATTTATTTTATTTCCGATATGCGCGCTTTTTCTTTCTTTTATGTAAGGTTTATGCAAAATGTGTGAAAATTATTAGACCTATACAATTGATATCTTTTATAAAAAATTCTCGTGTCACAATGTTAGTTACCATACTCCTCCGAAACGGCTTGGCCGATTTTTATGAAATTTTATATACATATTAAATATGCATGGGAATCGGTTACTGTCTATTTTTTAATTACGTACAGACGAAGTCGCGGGCGTCAACTAGTTGTTATATATAATAATATTACGCTATAAATGAAATATGTTTTTTAATAAATACGGTAGAAAAATTAAAGAAATGTATTAATTTAGTAGAAATAATTTATTTTTTTAATAAATTAATTTGAGGTACTTTCACACACAAATAAATACACACATACACACTAATAAATAATCATTCTTCTAATTTCCTAATTGACCAGCGTATGCTAGGGATTGAGCATCATTGACTCTTCTGCTCCATCCACCAGCTGGTTCATAGGAGTATCCTGGATGCTCATCATGATGCTGAGGAGATGCTGCATAGGACACAACTCCTGAATCATGATTATTCTTACTCAATAACCTCCTGATTAAATTAAATGCACTAATAGCAAATGCAATCTTTCCAAGGAAGACAGCCTTGACTGCTACGAAAGCTATAATTCCAAGAAATAGTGGGACGAGTGCTGCCAGTTTGACTTTCAAGAGGAGAAGGAGGGGCAGGAGTTGCTTGATCTTCTTCTTCTTTTTGCCACGAGCTAGAACAATAAATTAATAGTTAAAAAAGTTTAAGGTTTTTATGGATCTGATAGTGACAAATAAACGAAGTGGATCCAGTATTCTATTGATTTTAATTAGACTACGACTAATTATTTTATTCACAAATATACTAGAAATTGCAATGATATTATTTATTTATATAAATTATTATCACAATGTTATTAATATTATAAATTCGAATGTTTGGATGGATGGATGTTCGTTTGAAGGTATCTCCAAAGCTGGTGTAAGGATCTCGATGAAATTTGGAATACATATATAACATAATCTGGAAGAATACATAGTACTAATAATTGTTTTAAATGAAATGTAAGTCTTACCTTCATCATCAAGATCACGACCTTCTGAATCTTCAGACAAACGCAACTGCAGTACGTGATTGTCTAAGAAGTCGCCTACATTATTAACGATTCTCTCCTCCAGTTGTGTTTCCCTCGTCTTAGGATCTTCAACTAAAGGCTCGTAGCTTCTAGAACTGCGAGCTGAACCAGTGTTCACAAGACTGATACCTTCGTAGATGTCTAAGTTTTTAGCCACTGCTAATCTTTCGGTTAGTCTGTATGCTTTTTCCTGAAACAATTGAAAAATACGTTCACAACTTGTTTCAATAAAGTTACTTAATATGTATTAAATCTGTAATGAGCTTAAGTAGTTATGTGAATCGATACTTTAAAAGACAGGAATAGCTTGAAAAGATTATCTAGCTGTAAAGGTTGACAGTTCACATGGAAAATTAGCAACAAGTCCCGGCTTTGCTATAACAAATATATACTACATTATTCAAAGTTAGAAGGGCCTTATTCAGTAGTTTTTAAGTTTATCGGACACAAGCAACTGTTTCTCTTTAAAGTATGTGTAGGAAAGACGCGTTGTTTTATCCACATCACTGCACTAACACGTTAAATCACTTTTCACCTTTAAACACAATGACGTGTCTCCGTCCACACAATCGGATACTGCGCCCACAAAGTTTTCCGCAACTCCATTTTCTATAGGACTGGTATACACCGTTGCTAAGAACGCTACACTCAATGCTATCTTCCACATGATTCCTGTTTGTAATGTATTACAAGAATGCTGAACAGGTTATGGTTTCTTTCAAAAAATGTGATGCATTTTATCCTTAAACCCCCACTATGTGACTGAAGATGACGCAAAGTATGTGTGTTCAGTTTGACGACATGTGCTAACTGATGGGGCGCGCGTCAAAGTTCTGTACACGTAAGGATTATTAGAAAAATAAATATTGTATGTTAGAAAGCGTTTGCTCACATCCCAATGCTAGTTAGCGTATGTTATGTGTAAATGAAATGAAAGAAAAAGTGTGATTATTTACACTTTTTAGGCTCCAGTGAAAACGGTTATGTAATTTTGATTATGATCTGGTATATTATTTAACTTAACATCGAAAAATCTAATTTTAAACATCAAAATTAGAAATAAAAATAAAAATAATAAAATACTTGTTCACTTTGGCATAAACATTTTCTATTTTTATATATAGCCAATTTTAATTCGTCGTATAGGAGGTCATAATAGTCAACGACGAAACCGGAAAGGATAGTGTCGTATGACCTCGATTGACTTTCCGTAGTCACATTTCTTTCTTGCCGTTTCTTGATTTGAATTATTTTCATTTTCATTCAATAATATTTTGCTAATATAACAATGATTGAGACTAAGTTTATTTTTAAACTTAATTTTTTTTATAACAATTATTATTTACTATATAAATGCGAAAGTTTAGAAAGATGGATGGATGAATGAATGGTATCTCCAGAACGGCTACATTGTTCTCGCTGAAATTTGGCATAGATGTAGAACATAGAAGAACATATGGACTAATAAGTTTTGTTAACTTAATACCGTGCAGACATAGTCGCGGGCTAATATTATATTTATATTATAATATATTTTTATTAATATATTAGAAAATATTGTTACATCTAAATATCGCCTACGAGGCTTTTAGATTATTTTTATTCATAAATCAATTCAATGAATATTCACATAGAAACTAGATGGTTACATAAAAAGAGGAAACATAATTGGAATTGAAAGAGATATTAGTTACCTCAGATTTGTAATGGATTATAAAGATTATTTTGAATGTAATTACATCGTGTTTTGTATGCATGTGTAAATGTGTGTGAATGTGTGTGTGGCTATTGATTTATGTATTTTAAGTGAAAGTGGTATGGGTAGTATGAAACAAGTTATTTACTTACATCCTATATACCTTTAAATGTACATAATAATACTGAATATGATGTGGAAAATACTTTTTTACTTATTTAGTTCTATTGCGAACTATCGTCTTAGACGGGGCCGTCCGAGGACTTATACCGTCAAGGTTAAAATACTAAAGAAGGGCGGTATTAAGACCATCAGAAACCGAGGTGTACGTATGCGTATATGTAAGAATGTAGAAGCGAGTGAGATGTGTCAGGACCGCGCCAAACGGTGGTCCGTGGTCTATGCGCACTCCTCTGGGTTATGGGGGTGAATTATATTGTTGTTAAGAAGTATAGCTTAAAAGACTATGAAAAGTTAATTACTATTCCTATCGTATACTTGCTCTAAATTCAAAAGCACAGTTAAATCTATATGACAGCGATTTTTTTAATAAATAAATGATGTTTTTCTGTTGTTTACAATGTAGCCAAAAACAACTCATTAGGAGATCTGATATCTAGATTTATTCATACGATTACAAACAATAAGGCTGTAAAATCGCCGAGATTTCTCTGAGAGATATTATCAAATTTTTAAGTTGAGAATTTCTTTTATTTCATCAAAATTCTTACTGTATCTTGGTAATGTAACTTATATATAATAATTGTCTTTTGTATTATTTTTTGACTTATTTGCTAAAAACTCTCTTTAATCTATTTAATTCCATTCAACAATGATGTCCCATAATATCAAAACTAAAAAGAAATAGTGATATAAATGGAGCTTTATTTTTTTTTATTCCATATAATTTCTAAGTTGCAAATAAGTAAGCGACCGCTGACCATGAATTATTATAAAACGATTAAGTAATTGAGCTCAAGTGTACAATTGTGTTACAACCATAGCTGATGCAATACTTGCATTACGTACAACCGCCTCGCCTCTACAGTGAAAGTATACGATTGCTTTTTTACTTGTCGCAAAATACGAGACCTTTTATAACTTATGTCTAGATTGAAAAATAAAAAAAATGTAAAATATGTTGTTAAAACCCTTTTTTTTCTAATAGTATTATATAATAATAATAGATTTGTAATACTAATTATAGCGATAAATTGCTACCGTTTAACAAAGTCGTATGACCTATTTATTGTAATTTTTTTTTCAGTTCTGAGAAGATCCGATGGTTTAACAGTAATTTAGAGAAGGTCTTATGTTGTAAAAGTTACATGAAGGGAGACCCTAAAAAGTTCTAATTTATAACCAATGGATTAGGTTACTGAATGATGATGCGTAACAATAAAAAAAAATAGTTTTTTTTTTTAACTTAAAAGTGACTTTGTGAAGACACGCGTTTAAGTCTTTTACATGACGCCTCGTAAAAAAATGGGGTCACTGCCTTTTCTCGTCGGCCCTACCTAATCTCAAATCACTTTCTAATCTTTAATTATGCCTATTAAATTATTTCTTAATAGTTTTAATTATAGTATTCCGTTTCAAATTAATAAAAGTGAAATTATTAACCCGAAGTTCGTGTTTGAGAAAAAAACTTCAGTATTTTTTTTATCTAATTTTAATAAAACAATAAAGGTACAATCACTGCATTACAGTATAAAGTTAACTTTCATTACTTTGGAAATATTTTCAACTATCATACTTAATTTCTAACAAAAAGGTGAATGAGATAAATTGCGTTCAATAGTTTAAGGCTACACCCACTACGTAAAGTAGTATTTATCAAATAGCAAATTCCTTAAAAACCAAAAAGAAAGTGGCTACTGATGATTCAGTAACTGGGTGTTGGTTAAGAATGTGTGTGACCTTGGACAACGGTATTTTAGACTTAAAATGAGCTTGGATCATCCCACTTATTTTTTACTATATTATATATACTATACTATACATAATATATTCCGTCCGCGCGGAAATATAAAAAAAACTTAGTAATTATATATGTGTTCTTCCAGACTGTGATCTATATGCCAAATTTCAGCGAGATCCGTTTGGCAGGTTTGGAGATGCCATCTAACAAACATCCATGCAACCATTCATTCATCTAAACATTCGCATATAATATTATTAATGTGATAAATAGTTTAACTTCTTGTGTTGTTCCTCTCCGTTTTCGAAAAGAATGTAGCTTTTACAATTCAAGGAATTTGACAATGGAAACTCTTTAAGAAAGATATTTGCCTAAGTTGATGGGTGCGGTTGTACCAACTTTCGCATTGTACCGCACCTCACGAGGTTACAACTCACGGTCACGTCCTACGGTATGTACATAACTGATACATAAGTGAATTTCAACCGACTAAAACAATGTATATACGAGAAGTAAATGAAGTATATTTTTGTAAACCGTTTTTGAATAAACATATAATAAACGAGTTGTCGCCCGCGACTACGTCCGCCCGGAATTTAAAAAAAAATTACTACTATGAATGATTTTCAAAATTTGTAGATGTGTTCAAATGTATCAATTTAATTCGATGTTTATTTTTATTTAACACGAGTAACTTAATAAGTTATGTACATGTCCATTTTAGTAATACTAATCTAACTATATTTTCTATGTATATATCTTCTGTCATCTTCCGTGATGCTTTCCACGCAAACATCGTTTAAAAGGTATTCTGAGGTGTATTATGTACATTTAAGCTATTTCTAAATCTTAAAAATAAGCTTATACTATATATGAGTATCTATAAATCCATGATATGTGTGATTAATTTTTAATCAGAATTTAATGAGCTTTAAATTTATCTTTTTTATTATACTATTTTTCACAATTTCTAGACTCAACATTACCGTGTTTGGACTTCACTATTGCATCGTGTTGACATCGCTTTATACCATCATAATAACGATGTAAGTTCAAAATAGATGTTTACGGATTGCATCCGCCTCCGTACAGTGCACATTATGTTCCAACAAACATGACACGTTAACGACCCACATATATAGGGTTGGCAAAAATATGTTTTTATCTATTATTAGTCATCCATCCTTCAAATTCCTATTCATATAATTCCTAATTTAGGATTATCCAGAGATCACTCAATTATCACTTTCCCTATAAACTTATTTTACTTAATATTACAAGGCTTCGTGATTCGTGAGGTAGTCTTCTTATATCCATTTCAATAAAATGAAATAAAAATATTATTAAATTTTACATTTTGAAATACAGCGCATATTATTTTAAGTATTTCTAGTTAACAACAATTGTAAATATAACTTTTTCTTCTTCTATTGAAAAAAATTACTACTGTGTGGCAACCCTAACGCACAAGACATTTAAGCAGACGATTTCACGCGATGCAGTGCGTTGCATCTATTCATACTCACGTTCACACATACATAAATACATTGATCCTTTGTTGTTTTGAGTGTTCAGTATAGGTTTCTTATACTTAGGAGATCAGTTATCGTTTCTGAGTACAGTTAGACTTCTAAGCAACTATCTATCTAGATTTTGGTTTATTTAAAATTACCGAATAGTTTTTAAAGATTAGTTTAGGTGACTTACTTTATATGTAAATCTGCTTGAAAGATAGAAGGAACGTAATTAAATAACGCTACTAGAGGAATAAATCGTACCAATGTTTTTAATAACTTTAAATTAATTTAAATATGTTTAACACCATGTAACTTCAGAATTAATTTATGTTAGTTAGTCTGGAAGAGCACATTGGCTACTAACTTTTTTAATTCCACACGGATGTAGTTACGCGCGATATTAACATTTAGGAAACTGTCCGGTCATAAGCGGATTGTGTAAGGCTCGAAAATTCTTTAACATGAAAATGAAAGTTTTTTTTGTACACACCGTAACACATCTGCTTATATCATCTCACTGCGTATGCCACTATAGACCTACTTTCTTTCAGCTTAAGAGTGAAAGTTACTTGTACTCGTGTGACCTGTGAAACTTTGCTGAGTTACCTATTGTTAAAATAATTTTCTGTTTACGAAGCTATCAACAGGTTAATGTTTGATGTACCGAGTACTAAGCGCACATAACTTTCGACAAACATTCAATCTTTTTGTGTACACATTTTCTCACAGTTAAGCATCTAATACTGCTTAAGAAAAAAGAACCTTTTTCAAATATGATGTTTACAATTAAAGATCAAAATAAAGTCTAGAAATATTTAGTTCTTTTTTTATATTAGCTTCTATAGACTTTGTTTTGTCGTTTTTTTTATCTCAGAAGCAGTTAATATTAAGCTAATTTTATTAAAAAAAACAGTTATTTTAAATGAATTCAAATTAATTTATAATATACAGCTTTCCCGATGCCACATAATTACAATACAATCGGCATAAAATATTCATTAAGAATTTTCTAATATAATTAAAACTCTAGATGTCAACCGCGAATCCGTCCGTGCGGAATTAAACAAACAATTAATTAGTAGGCTATGTGTTCTTCCAGAATATGTTCTATATCTATGCCGAATTTTAGCGATCACCATGTAGCCGTTCTGGAGATATATTTAAACAAACATCCATCTATGTAAACATTCGCATTTAAAATGAGAAAGATGTTTCATATACAGCATGATTTTTATTTACCTTCTGTTGGAATGTCAAAGTTATATGCTTGACACTGATATATAAGGAAAGTTCATCACATATTCAAGGATGTCAATGACCTTTGGTAGGACAACTGATATTGGAAACATGCCAATAACTTGAAACACTTTTACATACTTTCCAATGGGAGTTTCTTTTAAATAGCGTTTTGAGGATAGAAATAATTTCTTAAATTCTTGTATAAACAATTTATTTCTCTTATATAAATCTATTGCAATTTAATATGTTATATAAATTACATTCATATGATAAATATATTAAAATCGGTAATAAATATTTGACTCGTTTCCAATGCACGCATACTTCTATCGTTGTTATATGAGAAAAAAAAACTTAAAGAAATCATATCTTTGGAACATAAAACTTAAAAAATAAATATTTGGTAAAAACAACCAGTATTACTCAATATCTCCTATAAAAAGAGCATTTTGTAAATAAAAAATATACTACATATATACCATAATTATATATATACATAAACTAAAGTAAAATCAGTCATGGACTTAGACAAAAAAATATACATACATAAAAAAATGATGTAAAATACTGTACAGTAAAATTCATACAATCATCTTTCATACACACAAACTAAACGTGTCATAAACGGTGGTTAAAAGAAGAAATAAAATTGAAATACGTGATAAAAAAAACGTTTCAAGACTTAGATTACACGAATAAATAAATAAATAACTTAGATTGTAATCTATGATTGCTTAGCGTGGGCTGCATATGCTAAGTTTTGAGCATCTTGGGATCTTCCCCAACCGCCGCTACTTTCCCATCCATGTTCTTCATGAGGTGGTTCAGACCAGCCACTATTCTTCTTCGATTCTAAAAGCTTCTTCAAAGCTCCAAAAGCAGCAGCGATGAAAGCTATCTTGCCGAGGAGGTAAGCCTTGAACACAGCGAAGGCAATGATACCAAGGAATAGGGGCACTAAGGCAGCGAGCTTCAGTTTAATCAGAGCTAAGATGGGAAGGAGTTTCTTCAGCTTCTTCTTCTTCTTGCCACGACCTGGAAATAAGAATATCATTAAAATCACCATCTTATGTCTGCTCTCAATCTAAAAAACCCCCCGGAGGCCTTTTGATGGAATTTACAATATATTAAAAATAACTTTTCGAAAATGGACTCAAATATTATTACACTATTTTTTTATAAGGTGGCAAACGAGCTGTCGACCGCCTGAAATCACCGAAATAGGGAGGTAACTGCCGTTCATAGGAACCCGCAATTGCAGATGCGTAGGAGAGAACGAACAGAAAGGCCATTCCAATTGTTATGCAATCCTTCCTCCACTAAATCTAATAGCACTAAGGTTAGATCTCCGGACACACTTTATATGTTTTATGTACATATGTATTCTATGCAAGTAGCTTCTTAGTAAATGTGTTGAATTGTAATGCAATTAAATATGTTGACAAATTAGCACACTGATAAATATTAATCTTTATTTAATTGTTAAAATTTTAAACTACGTTTAGTCACGAAACTAAGGTTGATAAACAGCTTTAAATTCGCTCTATCTACGTTTTTATACTTTGAGTTAATATATTATATAACGTATGTACTTTATTGAATAAAAATCCCACTAAGCAAGTAATATTATAAGAAAATGCTTGGTTTGACTATAAATTAACCGTCATAATGTGTGGCATATGTAAGTATGTAAGTTAACAGAAATAATTTAAAAGTAACTTAAAAGATCAAAAATTATTTTTAACATTTTGATAGTTTTTTAGATATAAGGTTTAAAAAAAATACTAACGGTACCCACGTACAGTAACCCACTAAGTATATTAGAAACACCGCACAATTATGTTAATTTTTTATCTGTTGAGATCTTTTACTGTTAAAATAAGCGTATAAGAAATTAGTCGAACGTTATTATCCGAATGAAACTCAAGTAATATTGCGTTAAGATTAGACTTGATAACGTTCAATTTATAACTATACATATAACATAATCAGAAGCATAAGTAATAATAACATTTAAAGAAAAACTGTAAGACTTATTTACGAGACATTTGGTACATATTTTGAAATCACCGATGTTAAGTTTACAGAAGTTTTTATAGGCTTTATTAAATTAAGCAAAGGTAAAAGTAAAAAAAAAAGTTAAAGCACAAATTAATTTAGACTATTCAAATTGAACAATATTTTCGTAATTTATTACAAAAATATGTTAGTTGTAAATTAAACTTTTTTCTTTAATTAATATGTGACTGGTAATTTCGAATTTCTATTAAAAATATTTCTCACCTTCCTCTTCGACAGAGTTATCTTCGATGAAAGATTTCGGCATTCTTAATTGTAGAGCGTGATTTTCTAAGAAATCGGCTACGTTATCCATTATCCTTTCTTCGACTTGCATCTCCCTGGCTTTAGGATCTGTGTCCAAAGGTTCATAGCTACGCGCAGATCTTGGGCTGCCAGTCCTTGCGAAGGTTACACCTTCAACTAAATTCAAGTCCTTTGCCACCGCAAGATTGTCTGTGAATTTCATTGCCTTCTCCTGTAAAACAAAAAAAAATGTTTTCTTAAAAGTTCAAGTTACTGTACGGCTAATATTAAAAGCTAACTAGTTAAGTATAGTGATCGATGAGTATTTAGACGTTATTCAGACGCTTGATAATTGACTGCAATTTGTTTTTTTGCATTAAGTCATTGTCTTTTAAACCCAAGCTTTCTCGTTTAATCATGAGAACTAACACGTCTTAGGCTAGACATTTATAATTGCTATGAGAGAAAATATGTGATAAAAGAATACAACTAGATCTGGATTACCGTTTTATCCCATTTAAGATTTTCTATTTTTTTTAATTATTACTTAATTGGGATTAAAACATATGAATTCAAGAATGTAACTTAGCTTAAAGCTTCTTAAATTTTTATAGGAATAATCCTTAATTTAATTATTTAACACTTTACGGTTAAATTACAAGGTATTTCTTTGCAATAACTTTTAAGTAACTTGATGTTAACTTAATTCATTTTCTCTATCGTCTAAAAAGGCTTAATATTCCCGAACTAAATGATGTCACTTATCACTATCCTCTGTCACTTCACAACACTTCACTTCACACACCTTAAGGCACAGCATCGTGTCGGTTTCCACGCAATCTCTTAGAGTAGAGATGAACCTCTCCATGACACCATCTTCTTTGGCCGTTGGCATGGCAACGGCGGTAGCCACCAAACATAATATCACGAACGCCTTCATCTTCCACGATGTCCAATGTTCAATTGTCATAGAACCTTGTAAGGCGGAGAGTTTTATTTTGTGCCCCCCTCCTCAAGCTTCCATATGTCACGTACTGGCAGATGTGTGCGGCTATGACGAAACACAAAGCACACGAATCTCGCGCACATTAAACAAATTAACATTACACCGCTATTTTTAATGGTATATTAGAATAAGTATGTTATCATCACATTGCAGGGTTAGATTGTGCGCATTTTCACTTTTCTATTTTTAAGTTTATGTTAAGTTACTTTTCACTTAATTTCTTATGGTGAGTTGACGTTTATGTCACAAAGTTAAGCAGCAATTTCACTTGTTTTATTTTAAATTGCTAGATAGATATATTTAACCTACATCTTAGAACCTGAGTACACATGTGATACTCTGTGCAACTAAATCTGATTCACTTTTTTGTATTATTGTCTTTTTTATTTTTTGGAAATCAAGTAGTAATAATGTAAATTGTCAACTATATTTTTTTCTAAGGGTTAGGTTTCCTAAAAAAAATTAACTTAGGAATTTTATTTTTATTTATTAATTTAATATTTTTTAATCTTTTGACATAATTTTAATGACATTTAAAACTTAACGACAGATATGTAATTATGCAAAATAAAAATTCTATAATCATCATCCGAAAAACTTGTTCTGCGAGTGATTTCAGTTTGAAATTACGTTGGTTCATTCATGTTTTTTTGAACAAGTAAGACATTTACGTTGCATCGAACTTTCGAAAGTCATTGATAATTTTCCCATTAAAAATCGATGTGTCGATCCTTGGGTGTAATAAATGCCATTTGTATGCGGTAAAAATTATACAGCCTATTTAAACGCGTAGCATTTAGGCGAAAGTTTAGTAGAAACAAAATATGAACAATGCTGAATATAAACAGTTGAATTATGTAATTTCTTTTTACAAAAAATTGTATGTATTTTTTCTTCAAATTTCACTTAGACTTTATGTGATTATAACTTAAGTTAGCATAATGTATACAATGTGAAATTGCATGAGTAATTAATTTACTAATTTATATTGTTGGTACACTCATGGAAATTTTATTATCTTATGTTATAGTCCTCAAAGTTAATTAACGAGATTTAATTTAATAATTATTATTATAAGTACTAAATGAAAGTCTTCAGCATTGATTTATTAAACTTGCTGTCGCCCATGACTCCGTCCGCTCGGAATTAAAAGAAACTTAACATATGCCTATGTGTTCTTTCATACTATGTTCTACATCTATACCAAATTTCAGCTCGATCCATGCAGCAATGCCGGAGATACCTTTAAACATACATCCATCCATTCATCCATCTAAACATTCAGATTTATAATATTAGAAAGATGGTTTACGATTAGCAAAATAAAAAAAAAATAAAGTAAACTCTTGTTTTTTTGAATTCTTTGAATGGGATTCAGTATTTGCATATTGTTGTCATGATTTTAATTTTAATTTTGAACAATGTCTTTTACTTCAGTCGAAAAGAGAAGATAACTTTACGTGCTTTGAAAATATTAAAATTATATTCGATTCGTCAAATATTTGACCAAAACTTAAGGTAATACATAAAATGTTCAGAGGTGGTGTTTGTATATAAACATCAATATGTTTGGGAACTTTTACCCCGTAGTTCATAAGTTTGAGTAACAGTTCACATATAATTAATAATACAGTTCAAAAGATTCTCAGACATCACACTTTAGACTCAACTCTCTTTATACAAAACAAAAAGGTTCTATTGACGTTCAGACAATCACATCTGAATCGGTGAGAGTGCATTTGCCCAGTATACATATTCAATGCGACATCCAAAGAATAAAAAACACAAAGAAAATTAAACTTTACACACAACATATTTAGGTCCATAATCGATTGTCGTGTAGCTACATTTTCTACATATGAACTTGGCTGTAAGGACAAAAATATACGCCTACAGGCACTAGTTGAATGTTTAAGTATTGAGAGAAAATTTTGCCAACACGCTAAGTTAGTACAAAATCATGTATCAAAGTCTATGATGACATTCTAGTCTCTATGACTACACGTAATAGTGCTTAAGTTATATAAAATGGCTATCGTAGTCAATCCTCGTTGTCTAATGTTTACTTCATTCGTTTCCTTAAGTTAAATGTTTTCTCAACGGAAGTTAAATTGCTATTCTGTGATAAAACTTGAAAGTGAATTTCACTTATCATGTAATGATTAAAATTTAAATATCTTGATATAATTTTATGTAATTTGCATGATTAATACTATTAATGTTAAACGAAGTGACGCCGCGTGTATTTACAAAAGTACCCAATAGTACCTTTTGGATATTATAATAAGGGATAACCCTTATACATGTACCCATAAGTATCGTATAGGCAGTACCAAGTTAGTCCAGTCAACACACGCAATCTCCGAGGGTCTATAACAATTTTTTTTCGATATGCAATTTTGTAACGTCATCAAAATCATATGACAAAATTTGTAAGACATTTGTCATTGTACTTTACAAATGTTGTTGACGTTATGAATATTTTGGTGTAGATTTTCTATAGTTTGATGTCACGTCAAATAAAAGACATAAACGGGAGTGTCTACAAAATCACTCGACATTTGTAATTTTCACATCTGTAAAATTATGTATTAATAATTATTGAATTACCCAACCGCAATATTGATATACATATATGTTATTAACCTTTTTTGCAGTAGAGTTTCATACAAGAAAATAAACTATAATTTCAATTTTCAATATTAATTTAAAAAATCAAATTTTACTCATTTAAACTTAGAATTATATTAATCATGACCACAATTTAAATAATATTTTACTTAAATTACCTAAATAAATAAAGACTAATATATTATATATTGAAATCAAATAGAGGACATGACATATTTACGCCTTGCGACACGACTTTCTTTGTTTGTATTTCACGTTTACGATGGGTGTAACCGGAATCAGTTACACAATGTCTACTCATTGATAAAATATTTAGGTGGGAACCGCGAACATAACTATACAACCGGTAATATAATATTAGAAGAAAGTTATGAACCTAAATATTTTGTATAAGTTATTTTAGAAAAGTTGTCATACTAGTTATATTATTAACACATCCTTAATCGAATTTCGATGTCAACTGCCGTACTAAGTAATTAATACTGTAACAGTATAAACAAACCTTTTTACAAACGTTTTATATTCGTTTTATATCTTACTAATATTATAAATACGGATGTTTAGATGGATGGATGGATAGTTTGAATACCTTCAAAAAACCTCCATTCAACAAAGCCTTTTTTTACAAATTAAGTATAACAATAGTTAGTAAATATATAGCCAATTATAGGTCCTCGCCGATAGTGGCATTTTACACATATGTATGCGCGAACAAATATTATATATTTTAAACAAAAAGCACAAAAAAATATTATGCGATTACATAAAAAAGAAAAATAAAAACTTGATTTGGTTTAATTATGTTTGTTCTTCTTACTACAAAATATGATTAAGATGTGTTGTATAAACCAAAATAAATAAAAAAACATCGTGTTTTGTTCTGACATAATTTGCAATTTTAAATAACAAATGAAGTAAGGATGAAAGTTGTTTTATTCATCTCATCCGTGAAATATTTAGGTCGTAGTCGCGTTATTATTACGTCACTTCAGATTTATAGCTTCCTTAAACTTTCACGTTTGGTTTTAATGTGATTCTTACTCACGTTCGCAAATAATATATTCGAAAAAATAGCATAATATGAGTGTTTTTATATCATAAAATAAAAAACTATATGAAGCATGAAAAGTAAAGGAAATATAATATAATTTTTTATCTGTGATCATAAATATTATTCATAATGAGCGTATTGACCGAAAAATTAAAATTAAATCAAGTAATAATTATATTATTATTTTACATCGTAGTTTTTTTTAATAATTTAAGCTTCATAAAGCTATAAGTATTGCATCTTGCAAGAAACCATTTTAAAGATTGTATTTAAAATGTATAACAGTGCCATCTATCGACTAGTAGACGAACTAGCAGTACTTGCGCAATTATTTTAATTCGACAAGATTTTTACAAAAGCAATTTGTAGTATGAAAATATCATTTTTTTTTTTTGGACAACTAGCTTAAAATTAATTAATTCACGAAATTAATAGCTAGGAAATCGTTTAAATTATTTGACTGTGGGATGTATTCTGTTTTTATAAATTGTTAAATGCCGTATAATATTTATTTAAGTTATACATTTTTTGGTTTACTTTAAATCTAGAAAAAAAACCTTTTCTATCTGTATGTTATACATAATATAATGTATTTTTTTGTTATCAGTTTGTATTTAATGTTTAAAGATGTAATTTTTTTTATCATTAGGTGGCAATAGGCCAAGGGGCCACATGGATTCGCCGAAACAGCGAAGCACTACACATAGACTTAAGAACAACTCTGACTAGAACAATTGTTTTAAGCAACATCCCACATAAGTTTACGTTGGTTAATATTGGTTAAACTTTTAACCAATCTGATTATCGATATACACTTATTATATGCCCCGGATTAGCTAGACGCAGAAAGCCAGAAACGAGACGGTGCTTCGCGTGGCTATGAGCCGAAAATTCATGTAAACCGTCAAAAAGCGTAAATTGGAATGACAGGTATAAGTTACTTCAGCTGATAATGATGGGCAAGATTGGATGAAAGAAGGGAAGAGATGCGCTGAATATAGGAAGAAGTCGTGGCTACGCAATATTAGGGAATACGGGGATTAGGTCAGCGGGGGAACTGTTTCGCCTTGAAAAATATATTCCAAGTTAGCGGCCAAACTTCAAGATTGAATAGGCACTGGGAGAACAAGAAAAGATTTTACAATTTTTTATTGATTTTCTAAAGGTTCTAATAATAACACGTAATATTTTTCAGTTCTTTATTTGTACGAATCTTATTGTGGGAAAATAAAATGTGCGTTGAACAAGTGTTAGAAAACAATATTTATAACAAACGTGCGTGCATTGAAAACAAGTATATATTATATGTATACCAAAGAAGCAATATATAACATAATATAGTTATATATAACTTGTATCTGTAAAGATATACTAAAACATGCTTACATAATGACAAATATATTGAAATATAGACAAAGAATATTATAGGAAAAAAAATATTAAAGAATAATATTTATAGATAGATAAAATATTGGAAAAGAGTTAAACTAAAATATATTTACAAAATATTCAATACTTATAATACTTAGTATTATTTAGGTGGATAGAAATAATATTCTATTAGTTACATATAATGAGAATATAGGACTAGAATAAAAATTAATAAATATATATATATATATATAAATAAAACGATTTGTTTAAAACAAATCACACGAATACGGATACCGTATTGGGTTATAAAATACTAATATAGTACATACAAGACCATACAAATTCAGAACAAATTTATGAAAACAACAACACGTCTTATTCTTAATCATTCAATTGAATAAATAATCAAATAAATATTTCTTAATATTAACATAAAACACTATGACTCTTCTAAGGCTGTAGACAAAAATTACATTAGCTCTTAAATAATCAGCGTGACAAAATGTATGTTCAAAGTTTTTATCAGATAAGACCGTAAGTCTAATCTGATTTGAAAATGCTATCCAGAAAAGAGACAACTTTTGTCACTTCTCTGTCATTTTAATTTGTTGATTATCGATATCGCTTATGTAACTGTCATTAAGGCTCCGCTTAATCTGATTTAATATGTCCGGAGTACGCCAAGTTTTGAGCATCATCGATAGACCGTCCCCAACCATGTCCACTGCTTGCGAAGTGCTCTTCGTGATGTGGATGTGCGACAACCTCGTAACTAGTTTCATGGTGTTTACTTGCTAGAAGTTTCTTCAATGCAATGATACCGGCGACTAGAAGAGAGATCTTGGCGAGGAGGACAGCCTTAACAGCGGCGAAGGCGATGATAGCCAAGAACAGAGGAATGAGAGCCATGATCTTCAGTTTAGCGATCGCCAAGAGTGGGATGAGTTGCTTCAGCTTCTTCTTTTTGCCACGAGCTGGAATGGAAAATAATAATTGTAGAGTTCTGTTATATTATTTTTTAATTCTTAATTGAATTTTACAGTTTAAAATTTTTAAAACACCTTATTTTCGTTAAGTAATTTAGAGCCTGGAATATCGTATATACTATATTTTATTGTGGAAAAATTTAAGTTTCCCTTGGGATAGAATCCTTTTTATTTTTCAAATTATACATAGACACGATTATTTTTTAATTCAAGGCTGACGGAGTTGCTGTCAACATCAAGTAATTTATAGTAGTTTAAAATTAACTCGAAAATACTGTTTACAAGCCACTTGTATTTCGCGTTTGAGTTACATTGTAATCATATAAATCTAACCATACCTAACCTACTAATATTATAAATGCGAGAGAGATATAGTTTAAATGGATGGATGGATGTTAGAAATCTCCAGAACGGCTCAATGGATCTTGATGAAATTTGAAATATATATAAAACATAGTCTGGAAAAGCACATAGGCTACTTATTATTTTTTTAATTCCGCACGAAGGCGCGTTCGACGGCAAGTTCTTTTATAACTATCGATTAATTAAATAGAAGTATTAAAAGATTTCTTAATATCAATAACTGAATGACAGTTATGACATTCTATATTGAATGATTGATCGATTGAATGATTGAATGGTACGCAGTGATGTATCATAATTGACCATCAATGGTAAAACAACTTTCTTTCCGCATCGTGGTAAGATTTCACGATGACTTGCTTAAGGTAACTGGTTTGAAAGCTCGGAATACAAGGATTCCGACTACGGAACAAGTCTAATGGCCGTTATAGGAATTCCACTTTGAGTTCCACTTTCCTGACCCAGTGTGTTTACTAACGTGTGATCACGTATAACACACCTGTTAGGCATACGAATATACTAAGTTGCAAAAAAATTGGGTCAATATTATTCCTATTGTTTTGTACGCATTATTAATAATGGATGTATACATTTAGTCTAGTCTTGATGTAGATTTTTAATAGATCTTATATCGTAATTAGATTACACGTTTAAGATAAAACTTATGTTTTCGGAATACTTTGAAGCTGTTTAATGAGATAAATTTATATAATATAAATTAACTTTTTTTAATATTAAATATAACAATTGCTTATGTAAAATAATATAAACATTATTCCAAGTAACCTTTTTAATCGTTGGTTTCTGAAGCCAAAAAAAAACATCTTATTATCTCGAACAAAACAGATAACAATATGATTTTTACATGAACAAGCTGTGGCCTTCGATTTCGTTTGCGCTTGATAAAAAAAAACTTTAGTAACCTATCCAGACTATGTTCAGTTATATTCAGCGAGATCCATGCAGTTAATCTGGAGATTTCTATTAAAAATCCATCTATCCTAACATTTGCATTTATAATATTAGTAAGTTTTGGTCTCAGAAACCAACGATTAGTCTCATATAAATATTTTAATATATGTATTCGACATAATAATATTCGTTCACATTTACGGCCATGTAAACTGGCTTACGGTAATATAGCGGGCAGTGACACAGTGAAAGTCAGATCCTTTATGCGGGAGAAAGTGACTAAAATTGTTATTTAACAGAAAGGAGAATATTAAGATCAATTAAACGGAAATCGATCGTTGAAAAGTAAAAGTTGTTTCGGATGTTAAATGCGCAAATTTCAGAGACATTTTTCATATCAATCGCAGGAGATTTCATCAGAATTAAGTTTAAAAATAAAAAACGAAGATTTAAGTTACTAATCAGTTTATGCGACCCTTCATTTCTGTTCTGTTGTTCCAAATTTTATCGTTATTCATTTTTTTCTGGAGTTTATAACAAACATCGATATATTCTTCAATCCATCCAAAGAATAACATCGAAATAAGATTTAAATTATTTATAAAACAAACGCTAGTTAAATGACGGAAGTTAATGTCAGATTAGCAATTAAATAGGAGAAATTATAGATTTAATTATCCTTATAAATTAGTTGCTATTTTGACTAAGTTACTTAGATAAAAATATGTGTCAATTTATCTAAAGGTCAATGAACTTTGTAGAAACACAAATAATGATGTAAATTTACGTATACATATTTAAGTTTATTTTTTAATATTTTTTTTTAATTAATGTGTATTCAGATAATATCCGACTAAATTAAAAATGCATTGTTAATATGTGTAAACTACGATAAAAAATAAAAACTATTAGCGTTATCTTTTATTTGGTTAACATTGAAATGCAGACCGTGAATAAGTTAGCATTTCTTTCATTCTCTCAACTGTTTACCGACCTACTTTGTTGTTTATTTTATTTGTCTCTTATTTCATTATTTTTTTTTCCTTTTATGTTTCGTAACTTATGTAATAGTTTATGGAAAACGAAAGTACTTGGATACGTTTCAATAAATGAGATTTTTGATATATTTAACATTTTTAGATATGTCATTTTGTTACTGACTGAATTTATTAATTGTTTATGAAGTTGGTGCAAAAAACCTATTGATTTTTTTTTTACTTCTTTTTAGACGTCATATGAATGTCAAGAATAAGGATTTATATAATCTAGTTTCGTACTGATTATGAGTTTTATTTATTAGTTTTTATTTCAAACATTTTAATAAATCAATTTAGATCTATTTAGAACTTTATATTGCAAAATTACTTAAGTAGATTTGATTTAATTTTGTATTATTGCGTTTAAAAGTTAATTATGCATGTTCTGTTACAAAACTCACCCTCTTCCAAAGATCGCTTCATGCCTTCGACAGCTGATGACGGTAGTTTGAACTGTATCACATGATTCTCCAAGAAGTCAGCAGCTGAATCCAATAGTCTTGATTCCACTTGAGCTTCCCTCGCTTGAGGTTCATCAGACAGAGGTTCAAACGCCCTCGCAGACCTCGGAGATCCAGTACCAAGAAGTGTTACTCCATCAGCCAAATCCATCTCTCTAGCAGTCGACAGCGATTCAACGTATTTCAAAGCCTTCTCCTGCAACCAAAAGATAAACTTAGTAACAATACACGAACACTTCACTACACAACACTAGACACTACGAAGTACCTTTAAGCATAAAGATACGTCGTTTTCAACACACTCCTTAACAACTCCCATAACGCTGGTCATCAGTCCTTGTTCTTTCGCATCTTGGTCGAAGGCAGGCATAGCCTGCGCAGTCGCGACCAGAAATAGGGCGAGTAAACCTCTCATCTTGTCTACAACCCCAGAAAGCTTAGTACAAACTGTGGCTACGGTGTATAAGTCGGACTGTTTTAAGCGTATCACCCCACTACCGTCCGGACAAGAAAAGTGAACCCAAAGGCGGTCCGATTAAACTGGCACCGACGAAATAATTTCACGTTAACACGATCAGTTTAATGTATGTTAGATTTTTTGGGTTCATTCACATATATGTATGTGTTGATGTTTCTTGTATGTGTGTACTCGTTCACGGATCAATGGTACTACTTACGTAGGACAGGCTACGGCACGGATGCGTTCAGAACTAGATAAAAACATTCTTGATACTTTCAATCTAGTTCACGTTTAATTTTTATATTTGATTTGTTTTCAATACTATTATTTTATAACTTTAGTTCAATTTGATTTTATTTAAGATTTATAATTAAGAGTTTTATATAAAAATAAGTAAGTATATATAATATAAAAATCAATTGCTGTTTGTTAGTCTCGCTAAAACTCGACAACGGCTGAACGGATTTATCTTATCTTGGTCTTGGAATGCTTATTGAGGCCTAGGGAAGGTTTGAAAGGTGAGAAAAATTCGAATAATTGCCGGGAACTAATTAAGTTTTTTTTTGTTCCACGCGGACGGACTCGCGGTTGTCAGCTAGTTAATTTATAAATCGAAAAGCCTGACACCTCTTATTCATTTAAGAAAGATTTCGTATGGAACATCTGTCACTTCCAGAATAGTACAATCCTTCTGTTAGTGGGACAAATAACAATTAAAATAGATAAGATAAGATAAGCCTTTATTTGCTGACCAGTACATAATTTTATTTTAAATTTAAAATTAATAGCATAAAATAAATCTGTTACTCTTGTATTTCGTAATAATAATAATAACGATAAAATATAAAAGACTTTGTACGATTAAATAAGCAAGTATATCCATATTCAATTATGTAAAGAAAGTAAAATGAAATCGTTAACTTTTGATACAATTTACTTTTAAATAAGAAAACGACATACATTTTAATGCAGACTCATATATCAAGACATACATATTATATGTGCATTTATAATTATAACAAGTTCTGGTAAAAGCATTCGCTTTATTTTCGCAATGGTATAAAACCGGAGTAACAAATAAAAGAAATATTATTCAAGCTTAATTCTTACTAGTAATAACTTAATGAACAAAATCTATGGTATATAAATCTTACTAATATTATAAATGCGAATGTTTGGACGTATGTTTGTAGATATCTCTAAAACGGCTGCATTATTATCGATGAAATTCGGCATAAATGTAGATAGTCTGGAAGAACATATAGGCTACTAATTAAGTTTTTTAAACCGCACGGACGGAGTCGCGAGTGACCAAATAATTTCAATTATAATAGAATTAACAAGAAACATTTTTTTTGTATCATAAGGTAGCAAACGACCGAGCGGCCATCTGAGTGACTGTTGCCCATAGACATACGCAATTGCATCTGCGTTACCTACCTTTAATCGACGGAGAAGAGGATGCACAGAAAGAAAATATCTTCCCTTTTCATGCATCCTCTCATGTCCAATTCCACTTCCCATCCTTTCCTTATAAGAAAAAGGGTGGGAAGGGAAAGAGGACTAAATTAGGCCTCCGGGACGCACACTCATCAGACGAAACTTCACGCCTGTCTTCTGTGTGGTCGTGGTATTTCACCGGGCGAGCCGGGACAATTCGTGCGAAGATGTTAAAGCGGGCTCTACCACATTACCAATAGATATGTTATAACTTTTCATCTATAAATTGCATAAAGAAATATAGACTATGTATTTTATTACTAGGCCAGTCAACCATTATTTAAAAAATAAACAGCGTGAGAGTCTCATACTTCCCATAAACGCAACATGATTCTAATTTACCATGAAAGAAAGCAAAGTTTTATAAGTATATTGGTGTTCACATCAAAAACAATGCCTACAGAATAAAAATCACATGTTATACTTTCCATAAGTGTTCGAGAGTTCTCGTTAATTTTATTGTTTTACTGAGTTAATTATTGTTTATTGCGTTTATGTTTCATTGTATTAAAGACGAGCGACCCACGAATGTCAGAATTAAAAAAAAGTAGCCGTATCAGCTACCTTCAAGTCAAAGTTCGATCACAATCATTCCAGTCAGATAAACAGACAGGCAAAAATAGAAAATCGTTATAATCAACACAAAATCTTTGTGTTTATGAAATATGATTGTTTGATACGACATACAGACACTCTCACCAGTAAATTGCTGGTTTATAATAATCAATACTATTAATTCGAAACCATCCTCACGCCCGTAAACCTTAGTGGTAGGCAGGGATTCCATTTGTTGCAGTTTTAACACACTTGTAGAATAAAAAGAAATCTGATGTTAATACTTTTAAATTTGACGTCGAATCTAAATAAATTACTGAGAATTAAAAGTTATTAATTATCAAGTATCAAGAACTATTTGTTGAACTATACGTTGTCGTGAAATGTACGTCATAAAATGACGTCCACAACATTGCGGTGTCCGCAACGAGAGGATATTTAATAGAAACTTAAGGCTTATAGAAATATAATGTTGTATCTTCCATTATCTTACTAATATTATAAATGCGAATGTTTACCGGATGGATGGATGTTTGTTTGAAGGTATCTCCAAGACGGCTCCGTTGATCTCTCTAAAATTTGGAATAGATGTAGAACACAGTATGGAAGAACACTTAGGCTACTTTTTAGTTTTTAATTCCGGGTGGACGAAGCCGCGGGCGAAAGCTTGCAAGTCCATAATACTAGTTTTGAAGTACATTTTCATGGTTAAAATACTAAACTCCTTTTGGTGCATGTTACATGTGCAGTTTTCGACTTTCCCTTGCACTTGTCAGTACATATATTGTTAGAGGTTTACCTAGACATTTTGTTACTTAGGGCCCCAGTGTAAATCGAAAGAGTTGCAGAAAGTTTGTTATTAAAAAGAGGTCAGTTTTGAAGTTTCTAAGTTTATTTGAAAATATATAAGTAACATAAAAGAAGGCTCGAACTAAAGGCAACTAAAAAAAAAGGGTAAAGGAAATACAATTTTGTAAAGATTAAGTTAATTGGTATTGGAAAACTAAGTTATATTTTATCACAGAAACTCCAAGTTTAAATTGATTACTTAAAGGTTTTTAAACTAACAACTGTAAGGATATCCCTTAGTGCCGAACGACTCTGCGTGCAGATACATACTTAATTCACTTATGTGTTCCACAAACATTTGGTACAATTGTGTCATGTTATATTGTTTTGTAGACGCTACTGTGACCATACGTCTTAAATAAAATTAAGGACAATTTTGTTTTTAATTTTAAAAATTAAGAAATTTACAGCTAGTACTTGAAAAGACAGAGGTATTCTTTATTAACCTATATACAAAATTTTATTATATGAAAATCGGCTCCAACGATTACGATTACGATAGGGGGTTTCGGGGGCGATAAATCGATCTAGTTAGGAATCATTTTTAGAAAATGTCATTTTATTCGTGTTTTATCGACAATCAACTTAAACATAATGTAACTTTTTCTACCGGTAAGATCGAAAAATATTATTCATATTTCATCATTTTATTAGTAATTCGTACTTAAATATAATTTCCAAAAAACACAATCATCCAGATACTATTATTATAATAAAAAGACCTAATAAACTTCAAAAAAAATATCTTTAATCTTTGTTAAATAATATAATATATATATGGTATACTTTACAAAGAAAATATAGATATGACCGCGACAAATATAATGAGGAATTTCCTTAATAAAATAAATGTCTCACAAAATTAAATTACATGGTAACACTATAGAATCTAGTTAAAACTTCTTCTGGTCTTTGCTTTCTTTTTGAAAAAAAACTGACCACAGAATAACTATCGTGATGTAACCTCATTACTTTTTTTTACGACAAACCGACTTTTTTGTTTGTCATCGCTTTTTATAATCTACTTAGCGTTTTTTTATCAACATCTACGTGAGTCACTTAATAGTAGACTAAGTAGTGATTACTAAAATTATATATAACCTAACATTATTTAAACAAATCTCACTGACAGATACAATATATGAAATGGCATCATCTGTTGCCAGCTTTTTAAAACATTTTTTTTTAATTTCAGTAGTATTTCATCTGATATGTAAGTAATGCTATCTTATCTTACTAATATTATAAATGCGAATGTTTGGATAGATGTTTGTTTGAGGGTATCTCCAAAACGGCTACATGGTGCTCGCTGAAATTTGGCATACATATATACCATAATCGAGAAGAACACATAGGCTACTAATTACGAGTATTATTTTTAACATGCGCGCGGGTGAAGTCAACTATCACAAATTATCGCATTTGTATCGTCATCATCAATTTAGTCAAAATTTGTAAAAAAAAAATAACTTTATATACATGAAAAGATGAGTAAATACTATATACCTAAATCTATGTATATAGTACCAGTAATTTATAACGTGAGAAAAGTAAATAAGAACAAATAAGGTCGTTTAATTAATCGAGTTTGTAGCGAGACCAGCTTTCAATGCAACTTGTCATAAATGGAGTTGAAACTTTATTGCTTAGAATATCCTGTGTTTATCTGTATAAATAAAATTGTTTCCGATGTGTAAAAAAACTTGTAATGAACTTTGAGAGCTGTAGAACAAAAATTTGAATAAAAACAAACATTACGACTGAGTTCAATCTCACTATCTTACAAATATTATAAACACGAATGTTTGGATGGTTGGATGTTTGTTATAATGTACCTTCAGAACCTCGAAATGGATCTCGCTGAAATTTAGCATATATGTAGAACATAGTCTGGAAGAACACGTAAAATATTAATTAAGTTTTTTTTTATTCCTAGCGGAATAAGTTGCGGACGACAGCCAGTATGTGTATGTAATAGAAAATGATTTATAAAAACAGCAATAGTGTTCTGCTTTTAACATTTTATTAAAATTGAGTAACATAAAAAATCGACTGTGCAAACTCTTGAATACATATGTTTTAATTTTATGTTTCAGTGGAAACCTAACCTTAATAGTAATTGCTAAGTCCCACATAATTGTGAGTAAATTGTGTTGTTAATTTGTGAAAAGTGTGTGGAAAGTGTTTTTAATTTTGCCGGATTTATATCAAAAGTGAAAACAAGTGAACGTCAATCACGTTCCAACGTTTTGCTGTGATAAAATTATTTTATTATCTCTGCTGAATTAAAAACAAAAACTTAATAAATAGCTTATGTGTTCTTCCAGACTATATTCTACATGGATGCCAAATTTTTTAAAGATCTGTTGAGCGATTCCACAGATATCTTTAAACATCCATCCATCTAAACATTCGCATTTATAATATTAGTATGGCCTTTACACGTGGCTTCTTTTACAAATATTTTTAGGCTAACAGACTTTTTTTAAGGTAAATTAATAATTAAGGACTCCAACGCTCCGAAGAATCACGGATAAAAATGATTGTCGGTATCATCTACACTGTCATTAATTTCTCTTCATACACACACAATTACCTTCAAGGCATCGAAGAGCGTGTAATTTAAGGGAATTATTTGTACATTGAGTACTTATAGAGATTTGTTACTTTCACCAAAGTTCATTGACCTCACATATTTATAATCGTGTAATTAAAATATAAGTAAATTAGTTTGTTTCATGAGTGGTAAAGACATGGCATAGTTAATACCTTAATAATATAAATGCGAATGTTTAGTTGGATGGATGGATGTTTGATATTATGTATATCTAGAACTACAGAATGGATCTCTAAGAAGTTTAATATAGATATAGAATACAGTCTGGAAGAACACGTAGGTCAGCTATGATTCCAAAAATGTGTACAGTTCCCGTGGCATACGTTTGAGTCTCTGCTTTAGTTCAACGCATCTTATAAACATTTGGCACAGATATAGAACATGGTCGAGTAACATATGAAATAAATATAAACTGAGATCTAAGGGAATCTATAATATTAGTGTAGGTTTCTGAAACTGATTATATTCTCAGAGAGATTATTTACCACTTTAGTAATAACTAAAGTAAAGTCATAGGTTATAGGCATTTATAAAATTACAAACTAACTCGTATAATTCAAGGTCAAGGGAAATCATTAAACATGTCCGACATAAATACCATTGCGCCGTGTCCGACATAAATTTATTCGTATTTTGGCAAGAATGCGAATTCAGTTTACATTATGCATGAACTCCATTGACTGTTCGGCAAAACCATATTAGACTATCGTATATTGAGTAACACGATCAGTGAAAGTTTAAATTAATAAATATACATTTGACATAAATTATATTTTAATTTTAAATATAATTTGAAAGTTGAAGTTCGGAAATGTATCAAAGATAGAACAGGAAGTTATTTTAATATGATTTAGTATAAATATTATTCATAATTATTTGGAAAGTTTTTTTTAGTTTGTAAATTTTGAAGTCAATTAGACTATTTTTTACTGTTGGCAAAATTTTATGCGTCAGTGGTCAAGCACTTGACTTGCAATCTTTAGGTCCTGGTTTCGAATGCCGCCATGTACCAATGTGTTTTTCGATTTCCGATTTACATATGTTCATTTATCCGACGTTCTTACGTTGAAGGAAAACATCGTGATGCAACCTGCACATATCTAAGAAATTCAAAGATATGTGTGAAGTCAACAAAACCCGCACTTGGCCAGCATGGTTGACTATGGTCTAGTCACCCGTAACTTAGGGTAGGCTCCGAACCCATCGGAGGGGATGTATAGTGAGCTGATGATGATGGCAAAATTTGTAGTAACAAGTACCATAAAATAGCTGTCTCCCGCGACTTATTCCGAGCGTTATCAAAAAAATAATAGCCTATGTATTCTTCCAGGCTATGTTCTACATCGATGCCAAATTTCAGTATCAATGAAACCGTCCTGGAGATACCTAACAAACATCCATCCATCTTAGTAACTAATAGGTAGATTAGGCTGTAAAAGTCACACATTTATCTTTAATTTAGCTTTTATCTGAAAATTAGCATAAAAATTCATTAAAATAAAGTTTATTATAAATAAAACATTTTACGAGCAACAAATAATTTTATTGAATATTGTGAACATAAACAAACAAGTGAACATCATGGTACATTAATTACAAATAAATAATTAAATTATTAATTCATATTTAAATTATTTATTATTAGCACCATTTGTAAATGAAATTATATAAATAAATAGTGAACATAAATATATTTATATAATAATGATTGAGATCTGTAATATATATTTTAGAAAATATATAGTATGTATAAATATATATTATTATATTTTAAATTGAATTTTAATAAACATATATAAACATAGATATAATAAATGCAAAAAATATTTACATATGTACATTTTATTTAATATATAATATTATTAAAGCATAATTAAAAACTCATACATACTATATTTTCATACATATATTACTGACATACAACTTTTAAAATATATAATAAATTATAATACTGATAAATAAATACATAAATATTTATATAATATATAAAATGAGATTTTTTTAAGCCTAGTTATAAAATTCTTTTAATAATATATTAAAGCATATCCAAAGACTGTTTAACAAAATACCTAAGTATGTTAATAATATTTAAAGTTATATACACAATTAAATATATGTATATCTAAATAAATATAATTATATTATACATAATATTTATGTATATAAGAGTATTGAGGTACTTTTAATTTAACTTTATTAAAATAAATATATTAATTCGTGGTTATATATAAGTTTTGAAAAGATATCTAAATCCGAAATGGCCGATGTATATTGAATTTGTTACTTTTTATATATCTTGTACTTATTTCTATAAAATCAAATAGAATTTCTTTTATATTTTCGTATCCTATCTGTATATATTTTTTTCAAATTTATTTATTATGCATGTGTCATATTTTTAACGTGTAAATAAATAGTGATTATAAATTAGTTTTCATTTAGTATAATTTATTCGATGTCTTTGGTGGGTTTTGGTTAATGCGCGTACGCGTTGTAAGCTAGGTCGTGGGCGTTGTCGAGTGATCTGAAAGAAATTATAAAAAAATATTAGCAATTTTAATTTAATGTTGACAATTACCGGGAACTTTTCCCATCAAGATGAGTTGAATCAGATTGTATCTGTTGTGAGCACGTGGCCGAGATACGATACTTTTCTCATCTTGACGGTCTGCAAAAGTTCCCGTTTTTGATTGACCCGTCGCAAAACCTCTTCGTTAGTCGGAGAGGCACTTCAAGAAGAAGAATTGATAATTATTTCTCCCTTGATATTTATTATCAAAAACTAAAGAAAGAAGAGTCAAAAGACTTTTGATACAACAAAGAAGAAAAGAAGAAACACTATTAAAGTAAATCACGAATAAAAGAAAGTTAAAAAGTGAAAAACCTAAGTATAAATAACAAATATTTGAACACACGAAAATATTTGTTGACTTCAATTGTTCCATTATTATGAAAGGGACAAGCAGAAGACGCAAAGTATTGAAGAGTCCAATTTAATGACTCAAAAAAAAACTCGCAATTAAATGGCAAATGCCAACTATTTTAACTAGGACACGACGAGGTTAGATAAGAAGATAGTTCTGAAAGTGAGATATGATACTCCTGAACGATGAAGTCACCATATTTCTTAAAAGGCCAAGTTTTAATTATTTAGAAGTACTCAATAAACAATAGTTTGAAGATAAAATTCAATAATTTTACCTGCTCCACCCAGAGCCACCATGTCCTGCAGACACAACAACCTCATGTGCCTCTCCACCACCGCTAGAGGACAACAGTTTTTTCAGACCGATGATACCGGCGAGCACCAACGCTAGCTTCGATACAATAAGAGCCTTGCCCGCTAGTAACGCAAGAGCACCGAATGCGATGGGTACCATCATACCGCCGATGAGCAGGGGAATCGCTAACAGGGGAGCGATCTTCCTTCTCCTGCCTCGGCCTTCTTCGAATGCGCCTTGCAAATCAGAACCGGTCGGGAATTTGATCTGTAATATAATGAAATATTTAATTACGCGTAAATGTATTAGAAATGTCGATTCATGATTAATGTGGTTAATAAAACTTTCATTGTTATCATCGTCGTCATCGTCATCCTTTCCTTATCCTATGTTATGTGGTGCGTACCGGATTTTATTCTCTTTAGTCAAGTAACATTTCACGCAATCTATCTTTTCCTCAACTTATCCGTGTATGCGTCCAAACACGAAAATTAACAATTCATGAATTCTAACGCTTGTAAGTTGCGCTGAAATTCTTGGACCATAATTGTTGAATCCATGTATTTTGTTATTTTGTGATCTTATTAAGGCAAAATTAACTATCGAAATATATAAATAAATCAATTTAATTATTTAGATTTATAAAGAGTATATATAGTAAATAGCGTTAATAAGTAAGTCCAAGGTAATTAGTTAGTAACGGTTGTTAGTGAAGTAGGGCGTCACAAGAGAGGTTTAATAGAGTGTGTTAATGAAAAAAACCTTGTTAATATGAATTAATAATGTGCAATTATAAAGATCCGTGAAAGCGGTCACGGTGCGTTGTGTACGTTATATTTAATGCGTTCACGTGATGGAATTGATTTTCATGTGATTTATTAGTCATTCGAATAATCATTATACGGTTTCCCTTATTTGCGTGGTGATGTTTTTTTACAGATATTTCGCTATGAATATTTATTAGAAGAAATAGAAATAATTTTATAGTGAAACTAGCTATCGCCCGTGACTAAAAAATTTAATAAGTAGCCTATGTGTTTTTCCAGACTATGTTCTATGTAGTAAATTACATAAAGATATTGTGCTGTTCTGGAGATACCTTCAAACAAACATGCTTCCATCTAAACTTTCGCATTTTTTTTAATAAAAAAACAAGCAGATTTTTTTGTGAATTTACTAATATTTCTTTTACCATTCCAACTAAACTCTAGGCTTGTCCTACGATATGGTTTACGACAATAGTCGGATGGCGGGATTCGAACCCCCGATCACGCGATCGGAAATTCGTACCTTAACCATTAGGCTATTGGCGCTTCTAAAATTAATAATATTAACAAGATTATGGTAGCTATTTACTTAATCGATTGATTAAAGCCTTTTATTTTATGCTATAAATTTTGTGAGATATATCAGATTGTATTTTGTAATAATTATATAGTAAATGGCACATGGCTATAATTTATTTGTTCACAATTTTATTATTAATAGAAGCATGCAGTTTTATCTTATTAATATTATATATGCGAATATTTAGATGGATAGATGGTTGTTTGAAGGTATCTCCTGAACCAATCTTGATGAAATTTGGCACAGATATAGAACAGAGTTTGGAAGAAAACATAGGGTACTTAAGTTTTTTTTTTTTTTAATTTTGCGTGGACGGAGTCGCGGATGACAGCTAGTATTAAATATATTTAGAAATAGTATTGTGAGTTTTTATAAAATACAATCTTTCTTCCAGTTCTCTGAAAGAGCTGTAGTTTTTACAATGAAAGCCTACAGCTATAGTGCAGTGCGGCAAAGTGGGAGTTAATAATTTCTTTTGATCACATCTCGTTATAACTAATTTAACTAGTTATAGCGCTTCACGAACTGTGACAAAATGCTTGCACACCACTAGTTGTCATGTGCTGCCAAGTGTCACTAATCTTTATTCGAAATGGAGAAATTAATAATAACTTTAGCTTTAGCTCAGTACATCTATAAAATTAGTGTTTAAGCCGTTTTTATATAATATAAGTTTGTTATAGTTTTAGTTAGAATCCAGTCTTTCGACAGTACAAGTGTGTAATTAATATTCATTTGAATACGACATGGATCCAAATTTAATTTCTATTACATTTTAATAGTCTGACATTTTTTATTGTCATTACATGTGTTGAATAATTATTAACATGATTCAATTCTATTGTTAACGACGGGTAATCTGACATTAACCTCGTTGCTTACTTCATAGTTATATTACGTCATAATAGTACACTTGAATATTGACATTGGTTAAAGTAATTGACATCGTCTTGTTTATTACAAACCAGTGTTTTAAAAAAAAAAACTTTGAAAGCGGAGTTTTTGGTGTAATATGATAGTATTATTAATAGATAGATAATTTTGTCAAATATAATGTTAGAGATGATATTTATCATACTAAGTTTTAGGTCTCAAAAACCTACAGTAATTCTATCAGTATGGGATATTCTTAGCACCACCTTAGTAAGAATATTTAAAGATTAATTCGTATTTGATGATAATATGTTTGGAATTTGATTAGTAGTAACGAAAACCCACCATTAGCTTTTTATAAGGCGATGGATTCCTGCTACACTTTCAATTGAATAATAGTTACTTAAACAGTCTTTTATTCCTTTTACTGAGTAATTTACAGTTAGTTTTTTTTATATTGAATAAGCTAGACGCTTGACCATTCTACTACCAGATAGAAGTGATGATGTAGGCGAAAGACGGTACGCGATAGCTTAATTAATGCCTGTTCAATTTACTCTTGAAGTCCCCCAAGTCATACTTGGACGGGAAACGCTGACAACTTGTTCCAATCCTTTTCAGTAAAAATAACGATGAGTTAACCTTTTCGTTCGAACGCGCGGTACGGCAACAACATATGGATGGATACTTGCGTCTGTCTAAACGCCCGATGGTAAAATAGTTATGGTTTTTAATGTATGTATGATGTTTATACTTTACCTGGATGGTATGAGTTCGCATGAATCCAACGATCTTGTCCAAAATAAGGCTGTCCAATGAGTTCTCGTCAAGACTCCTTGGAACCGCTTCTTCAGCCTCAACATTTTCAATTGCATTTTTATCCTTTGAAATTGTAACTCCGTTGAGTAGAGTTATTTCATCGCTCTTAGTTATTCTTGTTAGAGCTTTGGCTAACTTCAATTTGAGACAATTACCAATATCACTGCCGCTGCAATCTTTATATGTTTCGTATGCTATCTTCAAATCGCCTAGAACACCGTCCTCTGAACTTCTCGCCTCTTCTAATTTGTTCTGATGCGTTGAAGCTGTTCTACCGGTTACGGCGACTGCCAGAGTCAGGATAAGGAGGTAGTTTGGTACCATTTTTGCTTCGTTCGCACTTCGTTGCCTATTGGCACTCTGTTCGGAATTAGAACAGTGGTAGCGTTTATATGCGCTTAGTTTCACGCTACAGTGGGTGTTACTGAGAGGGATGCATTGATGCATTTATGCAGTTGGTTGTACAATCGGGAAGAAAAGTCTTATAAAGGCAATTTAAATTGTATATAAATTTCATATTTGGAATGAGAATATCTTAGCGGACGTTATAAAAAATATCTATGGACTACAAAATATGTAATATGATTTTTGTTTATAATTTAATATACTAGAGAAAGATTTAGTAACATTCTTTACGTAGGATTTTAAAATAAAGTAATAATTCAATGAATGTTATAAGAATTAATAAATATTTGCAAAGGTGTCAGAATGTTAAAATTAATTCTGTTCCTAATCTCGAAAAAATCTGTAGAATTTACCTTTGATTTTATCCTTAGCGCTTTAACGTAAATATTATATAAATAGTTATAGTAAAATAAAATAGGTAAAATATTAAAACTTTTTCACGGGACTGTACAAATGGTTCCAATTCTACGTCGACAGCTATGCTTTGATCGAATAGAATAATTTAATCTGTACATTATTAGAACAAAAATGTAACGGGAAGTAGTTTGTTAATAATATATTTCTTTTACTGATTTTACTATAAGCAACACATTTTATATATACTAGCAGTTGCTTGTGACTTTGTTCGCAAGTAATAATAAAATCTAGTAATAAATATGGCGATTTGACATATCTGTCACCCAGAGATTTGTATGCTATTTGTATTCTTGTTCTTGTGCCTCTTCAGTCATGAAGGTCGGCCGCTAACTTGGAATATTTGGGTTTGTCAAGCGCTAGGCGAAACAGTTCCTCCGCTGACCTAATCCCCGTCCACTCCCTAATATTACGTAGCCACGAATTTTTCGTAATTATATATTAAAAAATAATTCGTTTAACAATAAGTTCATTTATATCTTTGCTTGACTTGCGTTGATACTATCATAAAGAAATATGTAGGTTTTATAAACTGTAATGTTTGCACGTAGAAGACGCAAAAAGGTTTTCGTTTAAAAAATATACATCTGTGGTTTCAATCTATCCTTCCTAAGACTATTAGACCATATTATTAATAATATCATTTTGACTCGTATAATAGTCAAAGGCCGGCAACGCATCTGCGGTTCCTCTGGTATTGCTGATGTCCATGGGCGTCGTTGAACACCTCGGTGTTCCCGCTGCTCGTTTGCCTCCTTCTTATAAAAAAAAATAGTATTTATAAAAAGATAGTAAATATTAAAACAATAAAAATGTATTAGTATTATACATCCGTCACATGTATTCTACTTATGTTCTTGATGGTATTTAGGACAGTATTCTACATTGGATTAACATTTCAAACGTGATTCAATGCCGACCTTACTAGTGTCAATATGTGAATAATAAGTTTGAATAATCGTTAGTACAATGCCCAATGCATGAATTGGCACATCGAATATAAGCATAAACTTACTATTTATGTGCCAACATAATGCTATTTTTTTTTAAATATTAGCAGATATTTATAAATTTACTAATATTTTTGTACCATAAACTAAGCTCTATGCTTGTGCTAGGATAATAGTCGAATCCTCCTACCTCGTGATCGGAAATCCGTACCCTAGACAATAAGCCTATTGACACTTTATTAAAATAAAAGATTAAAATCGCATACTCGTATTCGAATCTAGTTCTATGTGATCGGATACCTGTACTGTTAACTATTAGGATATTGGCGCTTCAACTTTTTTTTTCGGTTGCTTATAACACGAACAAAATACATGAACTAGGAAATGTTCTATATTTAACAACATCGCATGAAATGTACATATACTTCATTTTACGCACGATTTCGATTTATATTTGTTAAGCAGTTTTATTGTCACGTGATTCGATGTAACTAATTTGTTGGGTTATTAAAGTTTTTGATATATTACTGAAAGTATAATAATTAATTTCTTCTTTAAATAACATGTTTTGTGTCCATTTTTTTTATATCATAAGGTGGCAAACGAGCGAGCTGCCACTTGAAATCGCTGAAATAGCGAAGTGACCATTGCCCATAGACATACGCAATTGCATATGCATTGCCTACCTTTAATCGACGGAGGAAAGAATGCACAGAAATAAAATATTTTAATTCCATTCAGTCCATTATTTAGTCAATATTATGTTGTTACTTATTTTAATATACTACTAATGATACTACATTGTAACTGGGTGTCATCCGTAACTCATTCCGAGTGAAATTTAATAAAAAAGTATAATAGCTTATGTGTTCTTGCAGAGTATGTTCTATATTTATACGATATTTAATCGAGATCCGTTAAGCCGTTTAGGAGATACCTTTGTGCCTATGTGTTTTTTCAGACTTTGTTCTAGATGTATTCCAAATTATAGAGATATGCGTTGAGTAGTTCCGGAGATAAGTTCAAACAAACATCTATCGAACCATCTTAACATTCGCCTTTTATGATATTAGTAAGTTAGGTAATGTAACGTCCATATTTTATATTCTTTTGAAAGATAAACATTCTTAAAGATAAAAAAATACAACATATTTTGTCTAGCGTAGATTAGCAGTCAATGTAATATGCAACGATCACGCTTCTAGCGGACAAACGACGCATTACCAAGTTAAATGAAGGAGACGCTTCATTTAAAATAACGCGCGTATGTATAGTACGAACCTTCATATGTAACTTTATGATTAAATAAATCCTCATTCATAAAATAATCAAGAAATAACCTATCTATTACAATTTTATTATGATTTTACACTAATTTTAAGCAAGAATGCGTGTATAAAATTCTAATATTTCATATTCAATATTCTTATGTTTCAAATATCACACTGTCAAAATAGACACCTCACGTATGTAATCCAGAAAAATAGAACAGATATTACGAATTTCCATTTGTCCCTCTCTAGAGTCACTTCTCCCGACGAAAAATCTTACTAATATTATAGATGCGAATATTTGAATGAATGGATGGATATATACTTGTTTGAAGGTATCCTCAGAATGGCTGAGTTCTGGCTGATATTTGGAACATAGCCTGGAAGAACACATAGGTAACTAATTAAGTTTTTTTTTTTTTTACTCCGCTTGGACGGAGTCACGTGCGACATCTAGTACAATGATATTCTCAGAGTGATCGAAATATTTATAATGTAACAAATATTTTTTTAATTAAAAAAGTGAAACATGACTATAAATATGAGCCGATTATCACATTTCATTGGAAAATTGTTGCATGCGGTGTTCAGACTAATTTCACTTTTGTGAAAATTAACAATAGATTAAAACCATCTCATTTTCTTTAAGGCACTTTTAAATTTAAAAATATCATGTAACCTGCACATATCTATGAATAAATTCAAAGATTGTGACGTACACAATCCGCACTAAGACAGCGTGGTTGACAGAGACCTCATCATCATCAGCTCATCGCGCATCACTATACGTCCCCACCGAGGGGCTCGGAGCCTACCCTAAGTTAAGGGTGATAAGGCCATAGTCAACCACGCAGACCCAGTGCGGGTTAGTTGACTTCACACATATCTTTGAATTTCTTCTCAGATATGTGCAGGTTTCATCACGATGTTTTCCTTCACCGTAAGAACGTTGGATAAATGTACATATTTATATCGGAAATCGAAAAACACTAAACATGTCCGACATAAATACCATGCGCCGGTGTACTTAGCGGGATTAGAACCCAGGACATGCATTTTGCAATCAAGTGTTTGACCCCTGAGCCACCGACGCGTCGGTGACAGAGTGAGGGAGGGAGGACAACCTTAACTAGGGCAGATTCGAATTCGATGGGGACTTGTAATAACCTGACGATTGACTTTTAACTGGGATAATTGTTATTAATTAGAACTTGGATTATTTGTCTTACTAATATTATAAATGCGAAAGTTTAGATGGTTGTTTGTTACAAAGTATCACCGAAACGGCTCGACGGATTTTGATGAAATTGGCTCAAATATAGAAGAGTCTGGAAGAACACATAGGCCTATTTTTTTACTGCGCGTGTACGGAGTCGTGGCGACATCTAATAAAGGCATAAGTCATTGTGTCAGAAAAACTTGATTGTAAATTAATCGAAAGTTGTAGAATTTCCTACAAATTATTAAACTACCAATAAGTAGCTCAAAAATGTAATTTAATGTCACGCTGAACACACCCATAATTTTTACAAATCGATTTTCGCTTTCTCGTTTAATTAAGTTGTATAAAATTACTGGTTCAAAACGATCGCGTGTACTGTTAGGAAGAAAATCCGACACTGTGCCGGTGTAACGGCACAACACTAGCCGTATTAAAATATCAACATTTATGTCCCCTCACTAATCATTCTGACACTTGGTAACGAAAGCACGCCATTATCTCTTAATGATTCTCACTAATTTTAGACATTATTAATTAGAACGCTATGGCGCGATTGACGTGTTTCCTTTACAAATTCAGTGTCAGAATCAAAAACATCGACATTTTAGTAAGACTAGTGTTGCGTCAATACACTGGCACATTTTCGGATTTCCTTCTAACACTAATAATGTCTAAAAGTACTTAATATTTTTAAACTACAATAGTTTAACTGCTAATATTCTACTAAATTACCTGTGGGGCACCACACAAAATATATCAAATATTCTTTCACAGTTGAACTAAGCGATCTGTTTTAAGTAGTCGAGTAATACGTTGCATTATCAAAAACATGAATGAAACTCGCACGGTGTATAGTTATAATTCTTTGCGGTTATTGTATAATTAATTAGAGAGTATACTTATTTAAAAGTGCGAATTTAATATTCATACATTGAATAAAACAACGATAAACTAAAAATTGTAGTCCTAAAACACTAACCGTTAGTTTCTGAGATAAAAATCTTAGTTTAAACCATATTGTTATATCTGTTTTGTGAATGACGAATGAATAAGATAATGACAATATTCTAGTTTCAGAAACCCATTTAACTTATTGGTTTGAACGACAAAACCCGAGAGATGTTATCGTCATAAATTTGAAATTAATTTTATATTTTACGATTTATTAGGAAAAATGTCAGATGTCAGAAAGAATCTAAAAAGAAAACAAAAGAATACCAAATGCAAAAAGATTGAGTCACACAAAAGTAGCACATAAGTACACAAAAGTCTTGTATTATGTAAAATTTACCAGCATTTTATTGAATGGTACACGTAATTTGACGTCAGATATAAGTGTGCCGACCCACGACATCCTTTTCAGAAAATTGTATAAAAACCGTCTTTAGTTTCTCTTCACACGAGTCCCTATGTCCGGTTTACATCCGCTTTTCTTTTAAAACAATACAAAGCAAACTTAATTCACAAAAACCTATAGGCATACTAAAATGAACCTTAACGTTTATGAAATAAAGTTGTAGACGGCAGTTTCATAACCGCATAATTAAAGTTGTATCGCCATATACGTATTCGAAAAAAGTTAAGCGATTATAGACCTTATTCCCTTTGAAAAATCCCGACTCAATCGTTATAAAATCTCCAACTCAATTCTACGTAAAGACGCAACCTGTTGTACAGCTTTTTATTCATTACAAAATTGAACTACACTGAAGTTTGAGTCTTATGCTTTAGTGATTAGGTGTATTTTGATTTGAAATATAGTTCTTGTATAGTAAGACTTGTTTTGTATGTACGAGAAAGGGGGAAAGAGGGGGATATTACATAAAACACGTGAGACACAGAAAGGCTGAGCGCCTCTGGCGTCTGAGGCGAAAGCTCGTCGATGACTAATGTATGGGAGGCCGCTTAAGGTCATGGAATGGAAAGGCATTTACAAATTGCCTTACAAAATAACTTACAAATTATTACAAAAAAATAAATGAAAAAAGCTTTTCATTCATGGTCTTTAATCCTTTCATGAAATATTAAAATACAAGATACAGATAAGTTCAATAAAATTTACGATAGGTGAATGACCTGTCCTTTAAAAAAAGCTCAGTGTATTTCTAACAAAGGGTTTATATTGCCTTAAAAAGCCATATTCGTATAAAAACACATCGTTATTCCTTTTATTCATTGAAGAAAAATCATAGATAATTATAAGGCTTAAGTATAGTGGAAACTAGGCAGTGTTACTTTTTCAATATGGAGCTTTTTACATGTATAAACTACAAACTTTATTTATTATAGTCAAATATATTCAATTTTTTTTAAAACTGCAAATCAAATTGCCGTAAAAAATCTTATTAATTAATTTAGATGAATGGATGGATGGATGTTTATTTGAAAGTTTCTCCAGAACGGCTTAACGGATCTTGATGAAATTTGTCATGCATATAAAACATAGTTTGGAAGAACATATAGGGTACTCGTTTTTTTTTAATTCCACGCGGACAGAGTTGCTGGCGACCGCTAGTTAATTAATAAAAATTTCCGTCTATATTTAGGTAATTACATTAAAACAACACCGCGTTAAGTCTGGGAATATGTTACGTCAGACAAACAAAACTTTTACTAAACCAAACCGGACATGTAAGAAAAAAATGTACACTTTCACTTCATCATATCCGTCCTTCCTAAATGCTATATCGGACAACATGATGGCCTTCAAATTTAGGTCCTATAGACTAAGAAATTGAGTTGACTTTAGCTTGGCAATTTGATATGTTCAAATGTACGGTGACGCGATCGATCGAGCAGGTTGTGAGACAATGAAGAGGTCAGAGGCCCTGTACGTACTATGAGAGTTCGAAACCATTCGATTTTATCTCCGAACTATAAACAAATTTATCAACCACAAGAATGGACATATGACACTTGCCACCATCATCCAGCGGCCTAAAGCTGTATTAACTCGAATATATATCTATTCAACGCTTCATTTGTGGTATTATTCAACCCCAAAAATTTCTGAATAATAATTTTAGTATTTAAAGACTTCAAGAAAATTAGGACTCAAGAAATTAACAAAAAAAAATTAAGATCTTTTGCACATCATTGCTAATTTACTCATAAAGTCAGTAAAATAACCATATATATTATTACTAGCTGTCGTCCGCAACTCCGTCTGCAGGGAATTAAAAAAAATAGTAGGTGTGTTCTTCCAGGCTATGTTCTACAACTAAGCCTAATTTCAGCGAGATACATGCAGCCGTTCCGGAGATATCTTCAAACAAACATCCATTCATTCCTCCATCCATCCAAACATTCGCATTTATAATATTAGTAAGATGTTTTATCTGGTAAGAATAAGAAATGTAACGGACATTAAAATTAGATAAAACTTTCATTGTTTGTAGTCACATACTCCAAAAATAAATTCAATTCTGGGACTTAAATTATCCGTACCTAATGTTACAAATTAAATCACATCCAAGTTACTCAAATTACACAACATATTACGTATTGTATTCGCAATGCAAATAGCTCTCAGAGATTGCTTCGCGAATCTACGTCCAATTTTCACCCCATTGTCGTTTCTGTGGGAACCACCCGTGACGGGCCACAGAAAACAATGGACAGAATTCAACCAGACATAACAAGGAAAGCTTATAAAACGGGCCACTTCTTACAATAACGTTATACGTAATAATAAAGTTCACAAAGGAAGAACTATCATAGCTGAAGCAGAAGAAACAAATAAAATTACTAAATTAGGATGAAATGTAGAAAGAATTAAACTAAAACATTAAATAATAATGTCTTTAATCAACAAATATGTGTTCTTAATAGTCGTTTTGATTTCTGAAGTGATACCAATACAATTGGATCGTCATGATGGAGAAATAATAGAAGATCAACTACCAACATCGCAGTTGAATAAGTGTTTAAGTGTTAAACGAGGTGCAGAAGTAGGTGTGTGTTTTGGTGAAGAGTTATTAGCTAATTTGAATCATTATGATGAAACAGAATCATTCAGTTTGGCGACTGGAGTTTCTTTCCTCCGTGATGAAAAGACACCAAGAGGTTTGGGAAACTTTTTAGACAAGGATCCTCTGGATTATAGGTAATTATGATTTAATTTAGGTCACTTACAGTTGGTTTCTGATACCAAAATCTATGTATAAAATATATCGCCATCCCTGTCATTATCTTTAACAAAAAAGAGATAACAATATGTTTAAAAAGGGGATTTTATTCCGATAACCTGCAGTTAATGCTGTGAAAATAGGATTTACGTTCGTGGAAATTGCTTACTTACTTAATAGAAATTGTTCGAAACGTTAGATGTCTTTAATTCAGAGTATATTAATCTTTTTTGAGAGGAATGAACAAAAGATAAACAGTTAGTTTCGTTGTAGAGTTTACTATTTAAACGAAAACAAATCGGGGACCGTGGGAACGTAAATTAGGAATCAAATGACCTATTTCAAACAACGTGCTATTTCTGTAATAAATTTTATCCAAATCCGTTAAGCTGGTCCTCATCTATCTGTTAACAATCCATCTTACAATATTTTCAGATCGATAATGGAAGACGCGAGCGAATTAATATCAAAGAGATCGTTACATTGGGACATGAGTGGTCTATGTCCGGGACTTGCAATGAGAATTGGACCAACTTTATCTAACGGAGTACTCGAATTTGTATTAGATCCGAGAATTAAAGATAGAGGGTATCAAAATCATGGGGAATTAACGACAGGTAATCAAATTTTTTAGGTTTCTCTGCCAAATTATCTTAAAAATTCATAATTCGTCAATAATTTAGGTACAAAGTCTCTTACATTTAGCTTTAAACGATTCTGATCGATGACTTTTTAAGATAATTGTACACCGCCATCTATGTTCTAAATATAAAACTTCATGGCTAAAGAAAAGTCAAGGCTTCAGTAACATTGAACTTGAAGAGCGCCATCTGCGTGAAGGCTAACAAATTAGAGAAATTCAACTTCAATTTATAAGATACTTTTTTAATTTTTAACAAAAATATATATGAAAGTTTTAAGACACTAATTTCTTTCATTTTCAGGTCGTCTATTGGTACGGAATCTACTAGTCCCATTTCTTCTTGGTCTTAAATTTCACATTGCAACTTTGCTACCATTATTATTGGGTTTGGTACTTCTAGCGAGTAAGAAGGCTTTTCTTATCGCTAAAATAGCACTGGCTGCTGCAACTTTATTCTCTGTGAATGGTTACGGTGGTCAATATTTCTCCGGATTTGGGACAACACCGTCTCCTACATTTACTTCACAAGAAGACTTCGGACATTACCATTCTTATCCTGGAGGTAATACGGATACACTTATATTAAAATTGTAAATTTTGACAAATTGTCCTTAAGGGGATTGTCATCATTTATCTGCAAAAAATATTTTACATTGATCCAACATCGATTTTGTGCCATAGCCTTATTTCGGTTCTGAACAAAATAATCCGAAAAATATTTTAAAAACAAACAATTTAATCTTTTAATTCTAACGATAAAAATATATATAAATCAGTTAACGACCATAATTTTGTTTTAAATTAAGTCAACTTTTGTAAATATTCTTTTTGTCCCGTATTCTTCCCAATTTTCCCTTCAGGTCCATTGACTTCCTGCCGGTGCACTGTTGCCAAAACTCCCTTTAATCCTTACGGAATAAAACGTTATCCCTAAACATTAGCTCGTACCACGTAAGTATTAATATTTCTTAGAGACATGAAACATAAAACCTATCTTACTAAATGCGGATGTTTAGATGGATGGATGTTAGAAGGTATCTCCAGAACGGCTGCATGAATCTAGTTGCAATTTGGCATAGATAGAACATAGCCTGGAAGAACAGATAAGATACTAATTAAGTTTTTTTTTGTTAATTCCTCGCGCATGGTGTCGCTAACTACTAGTTGATTATTGTACATTTTTTTTAAATAAAATCTTTCTTCCCAGGTTACTACCATAGAAGACAGTATAAAGAGAAATCAGCAGAACAGACAACAGCATCACCGATAACTCCTGATGAATTAAGAGATAGATTGGAACGATTGTTTACATCTAAGAAGGGTATTGATGATAAAAGAGAGGAAACGAAAGTTCGCAATGCAAGGAATTACGCTTGGACACCAATTAATATTCGACATAATTGAAATTAATTTTTATCTAACTCTTTGATGAATTTTTAAATTATTTTTGTCTATTATTGTTAAAATTACTAGTCATGGTATTTTTCTTCTTCTTTCTTTTAAAGAGTTGTAACTTAAAATATTGAAACTAAAGCCCATATTGTATACTTAACACAACTTATTATGAGTTAAAAAATTTATTAAATAGGTCTGAGTTTATCCATAAAATAATTAATAAGCATTTCCCTTTAAGGTCAGGTCTGTTTTTAATTGTATTCGTTTTTAAATTCTATTTCATTATGATTGAAATTCTATCAAGAAAATATACGTTTATAACAAACTTTAATATAATTTTTCCCATTCTTACGTTTAATCGCATTTCACATGTGCCCGTTTAAAAGTACCCCACATTATGAGGCCGATTACACGCCCTAATTGCTACAAAGCGGCTGTTAATTCACTTGTTATTCGCTAAGTAACTTTGACTATTAAAAGACAGGACCTGTCAAACGAGGACATTCTCTTCAGTCAAATAAAAATTACTTCGAAATTTAGTTAATTGCGTGCATTACATCACCCTATGGAAAAAGTAGCAAACTTGAATTAGTAGGTAAATATTTATAGCCTAGCCTAGTCCATTTCTCTGATGTCTAAGTTACTCGCCTCGCGTTAGGATACATTTCCGATCAAAGAAATAACGAGGGAAAGCGAGTAGAGTGAACATGTGTTATTTATTTCTTTGTAATGCTACTTTTTGTTGAATCCGGAATATTGACGTACTGAATTCAGTCATCCAAACAGTAAGCCGGAACAGTTTTGTGTTATTTTTTACTTATCCTACTTTATGTTAAATGATTATGTGGATTAAGTATGATTCGTAGCTAAGTTTTGGTTTTATCATGAAGAAATAAAGCTTTGAAGATAGTCTAGCTTTTTTGTGTGTCGTCGTTGAAATGAAATGATAATTAAAAGTCTCATCATCATCAGCTCACTATACGTCCCCACCGAGGGGTTCGGAGCCTTCCCTAAGTTAAGGGTGATTAGGCCATAGTCAACTTTTTCGCCTCGCAAGAAACAAAGGAAAATATGGAGAACTGATCGCCAACCTTCGCTAGTCGGAGAGGCACCTCAAGAAGAAGAAGGCCATAGTCAACCACGCTGGCCAAGTGCGGGTTGGTTGACTTCATACATATCTTTGAATTACTTCTCAGATATGTGCAGGTTGCATCACGATGTTTTCCTTCACCAAAAGCTTTTTATCTAAGCTGCTGGAAAAATGTATATCTACAAATATAAAAAAATTCTGAATCCACCATAAAATTCTAAATTAAAAATGTAGTTTTAAAATACATTAATTCTGTATCCAAATTACAATTTTTCATAAATCACATCCAGGTTTACGTCCTTCAAAATGTATTCAACTGAGTTTAAAGGTAAACTTCCACTGTGTTATTACTTGTATTGATACTGTCAATTTTATTATTTAACAAGATAAGGACAACCATGTCTATAGGAGAAATAGCAGTGGAAATCTGCGGTAACGCGTATGGATTTTGATCTTATTTATATTCACATTTGCGTCCGTAGCACAGTTTTCTTGTACTTTCATATTTTTTTCAACGGATGCCGTTCGCTAGTTTTTCATCTTCGCGTGATAATTCTTCGTTTCAACGTCACGCTCATCTTATTAAATATAATTGTCTATGTTTTCTTAATATTTCAATTATCACCAATTAAATTAGGTTAATTTTATCTCGTACTACGAATGACTAATAATGAATTCAATATATTCAATCAATCTATTAAAGCTTCCTAAAATAATCTACATCTCACCTCTTACTAAAATTATAAATGCGAATGTTTCGATGCATGCATGGCTGTTATCTCCAAAACGACTGAACGGATATCGATTAAATTTGGCATACATATAGAACTTAGCCTGAAAGGGCAAATAGGCTACCTATGATCCCAGAAATGTGTAGGATTCCCGTAAGATATGTTTGGTTTTTACCAATTGGGTCAAAGGAAGAATTACAAAGACCTATCCAGCAATAACTTTTACTTATATCCATGGTGATATTTCCTGTTTTTATGAATATTTCTAAGCATATCCGATGTTAACCCAGTTACCTTGATATCTTCGTTCATGTTCGTTAAACGCATTTACTTGCATTTAACTGGGGAAATAGAATTAGGATGAATAACTGACTAGAGACGCTCCAACTGGCAATCTGTTTATTACCACAGATCATATCGGTCTAATAACGTTCTCATAATGATTTTATTGATAAAAAACCATTTTTTTTAATCCTCTTTTATTAAAAAGAGTGTTATTAGTTGGTACTGTTGTTTAACGAGCTTAAGAATTAAAATAACTTGTATTTTTTAAGTCGTTAGTTTTTTGCAAGTGAGAAGCAAAAAATATGATTCCAAGTAGGAATCCGAATTCAATTGGACCAAATGACAAGAAAAATTTTTCGAATAAAAAAATAATTATGAAAATTTGACAATCAGGAGCGGAGTTACGAAGTAACAAAAAACATAGTGACGAATTCTGAACCTCCTCCTTTTCGTAGTCGGTGGAAACACTATATAAGCAGTAAAACCAGAATAAAATCTCATCTTTCAAGTTTTTTTTGAAGAAACAACGAATTCTGAATTTATATAGGATTCGTGTACGTAATATAAAGACCCTATACTAAAAGAAAAATGACCAAGAAACTATTACAATATTTTAACATGAAAATAAATTAACTCTAAAAATGAAAAAAAATCCAACAAAAAACTATCGTCAATCTAATTGTCATTCTTGATTAATCAGAACATGTTCAAAAATACTTATCGGTATGAAATTTATAGATTAATTACGTTGTATCACGACAACACATTAATTTAATATTTAACGTCAGTTTCCACTGCTGAAATTTATTTAAAACATATCATTATCTCGATTTTTCAAAACGTATGAGAGAGAAAACAATAAAACTTAGGTGTTGCCGGCAGTGGAAGTTTTTAACAATGAAAGCCCACTTTTTTAAAGCGTGTGTTGCCATTTGTATTACCTGGAATGTAATAAAGTTACAGTTTAAGTTATTTTTTAACTAGATTCAAATTTATAATTTTTGTTTATGAACTTATTTTCAATAATTCCGCACACGAAGAAGAATGCAGCGTAGCGAGAATTTAAAGTCAATTATCTTGTAAATCAATCGATCGTCTTCCCTGTTCGTGTACTCGCGAATCTAAAAGACACGCGACAATGTAACGCTACAACCAGGTATTATCACGAAAGAACATTTTTGAAATAACTCATAATAATCTTTACTTTTAACCCTGAAACATGTCTAAGGGAGGGACTTGGGAGATGTCGGCTTATAAAAACGTATGATAGAGTAGTACATGCTGTGTCGACCCTTAGGGGTAAAGGCTGGAATACGACAAAACAATAACCCTTAAACAGATTCAAGATATAACTTTATGACATGGATCATAGTACCCGGCGCTTGGAGTTGGCACCTCAGGAATAAAATGACCTATTCATCTGCTTTTCTTGCAAAACAAATGCCAATTATTCTACTATAGTAATTCTCTGCTTATCCTTAATGTCGGGTTCACATTATGTCAGTACAGTAGGACAGTAGCGCTATAATCAACGCTGGCATACAACTGGCATAAACTAACTGGCGCCCGTGAGTCAAAACAGTTCATGACAGGCCAGCGCTATTGTCCTACTGTACTGGCGTAGTGTAAACCAATCATTAACATTTAAGTTAATAATTAAAATTTAACACTAAAATTAGGTTTTTTAATAATTGGATTAGAGAAGAGTAGACTTTTCTTTAGATATTTTTCGCTATTAAAAAAACTCTTATGCTTTACTTTTTAAATTGTCAGCCATTTTGTGCAACTAAATAATATTTTATTTGGCACATGGCATGTAGAGAATATTACCATGAGTAAAAACCATATTTAAGTAAAAATAAGAGTGGGAATAAAAATTCAATTTTTCAAAGTCAATTAAAATTAAATTTAATATTACTGACCTCTTAAGTAAACTAAAATAAAACAATAACGAGAGTGGAATAGTTTATGAATTAGTCATTGGTTTTTTTTATAGGATATTTGTCATCATCGATATAAAACCTAAAAAAATTTTTGGATAAATAAATTAAATACCACTTATATGGTATACGCGTAACCACCAAAATAAACAAGCAAAGTTTATGCATTAACAAAAAAAAACTTAATAATAAACTTAACAGCACCAAATTATTTATAATCTTAAACTAATTCTATACAAAATTGGACATATGAACATTAAGAACACAGAAATGCACAGTACCCGTCGACTAACCTAATTGTAATAATTATTATATTTACTAAAATAATATACACCACAAATATTACCATAAATATCATCGTATTAAAACAAATAACTATTATTTAAACTTATTTACATACTAAAATATTCAGTGCGATAAAGTGGATATAAAATTAACAATATTTAATAATTAACAAATTAATAATAAACTCAACTTATTGAGTAAAATAATAAATTATTAAATAGTATAATAATAAATTAATAATATTCCTATTCTTGTGTTAATCAAAACCTGTCAATGCGATATGTATCCGACGCGTAGTTGCGATTCTAGAGTCGTAAGCTTCTTATTGTGTCTTGGCGTATGCTCGATATGCTCTGTCCTGGGCGGCTGCTTCATCCTCTACGCTTCTCCTATAATGACCTCCTGGACCGGTAGTATCGAAATCACTTCCATAATGAGACGACGAATATGTATGACTCTGGGATACCTGAGGATGCTTCACGATCTCATACGTAGTCTTCTCATGATTGTCTCCACCAGAAACTAACTTTTTCAAACCAATTATAGCCGACAGTAATAAAGCAATCTTACCTATAAGCAGAGCTTTACCAGCTATTAGAGCAATTGCTTGGAAAGCCATAGCCAAGAACCCACCTTTAATAGCAACACCAGCTAATATCGGTCCTATCATTTTCTTCAATTTCCCTCTAGCTTGACTCAATGACCTTCCTATATCATCACCGATGCTCGCCGGTGATATAATAACTCGATGTGTCTGCATCAACTTTGTTGTAGCTTCTTGAAGACATTTGTCGACTTCGTTTGACGTCAGCGCATTTAAATCACCTTCCGGCAGAGAAGACGGGTATGCGCGCTCCTGATTCACTCCTCTGACCAGGGCGACGCCGTCGAATAGAGGCAGTGTATCCATCCGAGCTGCTCTATCTGCTAACTTTGCTGCTTGGATCTTGAAACACTTGAGCATCTCCTGAGATTGTTCACAGTTCTCGTACATCCTTCCGATCAGTTTGAGACCGGCTCCGAAGGTATCCGCTGATGCGGTCACAAGGATACAGATAGAAAGGACGATGGTCGCGCGGTACCGCATTTTAAATTATATAATAATGGAATGCCCCTTGGAAATTGAATGGACCAATGTCCAGTCAATGCGGTTGTGTCTATTGAAATGTGTAGAAAACACATGAGCACTGGCATTTATCTATTTTCACCGGGAACTGCATTTATCTATAAATCTTTTAGAGCGTGCAATCGTTGCATCGTGTGTTCGTGCACTGAGGCGTGCATGCTTGCGTCTGTGATCTTGTTGTGTGACTGTGTGAGTCGCAGCTGCTGACCAACGCTGGTCGCATTTGCACCGGGTACGCATTTATGTCAAGGTCAGTTTATAATTTTAGACTTTTCTTAAAACGTCTAATTTTTTTAACTTGTACAGTTTTATAACGTAGCTTGAAATGCTATAGATTTTTTTTAAGTATAGTTTTTAAAAATCCTATTTGAAATGAAAAAGGCACTTTACTTGTACTTCACTCTTGTCTTCTGAAAATTATTTTTGATTGAAAAATTAAATAAATAACTTCGTATTTTTAAGTTATCTACACTTATTATAACATTTGTAAAACTAAACATTTATATTTTTGTATGTAACGAATAAACTCAAAAACTACCTCACCTTTCTAAAAACTCTTTTGCCATAAGAAAGCTACATTGTTACTGATTCTAGTAATAAATATAGCGTATGTTAAGCTACATTTATTATTAAATTATTTTTGAGTCATGCTAAAAGTTTTTTTTAATTTTTTTATTATACATATACTTAGTAATTTTGAATATTGACCGAATTCATAAAGTCACCTTAACACACACTGAACGCATAACCTGTGATCAATTACGTTTAGCGGCTAATTGCATATTTAATCCGTTCTTTAATATAATCTTTAATTTATAAGATAACACCACTATGAGATCTTATTTTATGACATGGTGATAACACATCTCGGTACGGATTCACTAATTTTAATGTTTTAATAAATTTAATTTAATCTCTTATAACTCAAAATAACAGGTCTAAAAGACAAGATTATTAGACTCAGAGCAAACAAAGAAGACGCTGGTTGTATATCTAGAAAAAAGTTAAAAGAATGCTTAGTCATCATCATCACCTCACTATACGTCCCCACCGAGGGGTTCGGAGCCTACCCTAAGTTAAGGGTGATTAGGCCATAGTCAACCACGTTGGCCAAGTGTATGTGCAGGTTGCGTCGCGATATTTTCCTTCACCGTAAGAACGTGGGATAACTGTACATATTGGTACATGGCGGGATTCGAACCCAGGACCTGCAGATTGCAAGTCAAGTGCTTGACCCTTAAGCCTACCGACTCTCTTAAAAGAGTGCTTAGTATTGTTTCTAAATGGGATCCCCTGGTCCATTGTAAACGCTGTTGCTGACCACCTTAGGCCTTGATGCGAGCCTAACATTTTTTTGTTAAAAGAAAAGCTTGCAAACACAATCTTGTTGAGTAAACGACGAGCAAACTTGACATTCATTATTTACATCTACGAAGCGAACAATAACACAAACATAATGGACATTCAACAATGCCAGTGAACGCACTTAGTGTGTTCAAGCCTTAATCACCGCGAAGTGGTAATAAGTCAATGTAACATACGACTTTAAGGTTAAGATCATGGAATTGTTTTTTTGTAAATTCGTATATATAGTGGTTGTCATTTTGGGATTATTTTAATATCGCATCATAATATTAGTATGACTCCGTCCATGCAGAATTATAACTTATATATTCTTCCAGGCTATGCTCTATATCTATGACATACAGCGAAATCCATGCAGCTGTTCTGGAGATCCTCTAACAAATATGCATCCATACATAAATCTAAACATTAGCTTTTAAAATAATATTAAGTAAAATTGTCTTGTAATTGTTCAGTGGCGTATTATTACCAAAAACTTTATTAATTTAAGGCATGCTAACGCATCTGCGGTTTCACTTACGCATTTCTAAAATATTTATGAAGACATTTTCATATTTTATTTTATTCTATTTTTAGCCGACTTCAAAAAGGAGGTTATGAATTCGTCTGTATGTTTTTTTTTATGTGTGTTACCGGGTAACTCCGCCCTTGGTGCTGAGATTTTTTTTTTTGATCGAACGGTTTTGCTTGCATGTGTGTCCCATTTTTTATTCTATTTTATACTGTACACATTTTGTAAAATAACGCAATTATTAATTCATATTCAAATATGATAAAGACTTTTTTACACGAGTGTACAATGTTATCACCAAAGATTCACTGTAATAATGAAAATAATCCTTATTCCGATCGCATTAGGTCTTTATTTGCTTGTGAATTATAAGTGAGTTTATAATACTGAATTGATTTATTTACCTAGATATAAAAAATACAATTTAAAAAGATTTTTATGACTACTAGCTGTCGTTCGCGACTACCTCCGCGCGGGATTAAAAATAGATGTTGGCCGATTCTCAGACGTACTCAATATGCTAACAAAATTTCATGAGAATCGTGACACGAGAATTTTATATATATGATTAATTTACCACTAAGAACTTTTAAATCGCTTTTACATTTAATAGTTCTTTGTTACTTGAGTCAATTGTCAACTGTCAACACAAGTCTAGGGCATGTTGCATTAATACTTTCCCATAGCTTTTCATTCCTAACTACATGCGATTAGCTATTAACATTAGCTTTGACTTTGAGAAGTAAGATTTAGTTTCTTTTAACTTAAATTACCTAATGAAAATCACAATAATAATATTAATTTAATGCTTCTGTGCATATCAAAAATTTAAAATTGGAACATCCAATCTTACTAATATTATAAATACGAATTATTTAATTGATGGATGTTTGTTAGACGGTATCTCCAGAACGACTGCATAGATCACGTTGAAATTTGTCACAGATGTAGAACTTAGCCTGGAAGGACAAATAAGCTACTAATTAAATTTATTTTTTACCCCGCGCAGACGGAGCCGCGGGGTAAAAAATAAATTTAATTATTATATTTTGTATTGTTCAAGTTGGAAAAATTGAACAATACAAAATATAATAAGTAAATTCACATTTTAAATATTTTTAACAAAGAAATATTTTTTCAACGATTTGTGAAGCTTTACAGTATATTTTCCGTTTAACATTAAACAAACATTTGTCTAAATTTAAAGAAGTTTTGATACTTAGACTTAGGGTCCTTCAAGAAGCGAGCGTATCACTATAACGGCAACTCATCTGCGGTTACTTTGGTATTGCTAATGTCCATGGGCGTCGTTGAACACCTCGGTGTTCCCGCTGCTCGTTTCCCACCTTCTGTTATAAAAAAAAACAAATTACTTTTAACCAATCACACGTGTAGTCTACAACTTTTATTTAATAATTGTGTTACCAGAAGTACAACTCAGTATTATTTATTGGAGTAAAGTTGTCCGGAAACGTTACATCATGCTCAATTACTACAAAGCTAATTATAGACGAATTCCGTATTGTAAACATGCAAAATATAACAGAGTCCAAAAAAAATTGGATATGGTATTTTTTATAATAATTATAATTATAATTGTAATTCTCTTCATCTATCACTTAAAGAAATTCTATTAAAACATAACAAAAAAATTGACAATTAAAATAAAATACTAGCTGTCGCCCGCGATGCTAAGATAATATAAGAGTCTATAGTTTTTATACAGGTATTTCTCGGGAATATTTTATGTTCCTATTACATTGATTTTGATTACCTTTAAATTAATTAATCTTAAAAATAGATTTTTTATAATTTGATTTTAATTTAAATATTTTAAGTAAAAAATATTGATTTGTGGAGTCATATATTTGAAATTTCATTTTAAATCATAAAAAAAAATCAATTTGTTTTATTAGTTTTTTTTGTTTTTTTTTAGATTTTTTTTTTTTTATTATATTTTATTATAGAAATTTATAGTTTTTTTTTAGAGTAGGAAATTATTTCTTATAATTCAATAAGAATTGTAATATCTATTTTATTAGATTGAATATCTTTATCATTTATGATATTTGTATTAATAATTTCATCTTCAGTAATTTATTATAGAAAAAGAAGATTCTTCAGAATTAAATTTAAATCAATGTTCTACGTCCATTCTAAATTTCTTCGAAATCTGTTTAGCCGTTTTGGAGATACATTCTACCTAACATCCATCCATCCAAACATTCGCATTTATAATATTAATAAGTTAGTAACAAAAAATATTCCAAAAAACCTTTAACATTCATTTATAAGTTACTAAAATTATCTAAATAATGTGAAATTGGACCGTTTGATTTATTTCATACTTCTAATTCTAAAAGTTAAGGGACTTACCTTCTACAACAATCGTAACAAACAATCTGATAACACAACTACATTCAACCTTTCCGTTCCTATAAACACACACAAATCTTCATTATTAAGGGGTATTGTACACTCGCAGTTATCACTACTGTTGCTTACTTGATAGTTACAATAAATGTAAGAAGATTCTCGTTACTACTAATGTATAATCTCCTTTATACGGTACCCCCGATCTAAGACACGATTGTTTATACTCGCTGCATAGCCTATAAATACGGTAGACGTTCACGTGCAAATCTGCAGTCTTTTTTATAACCACAACCCGTGTACATCTTTAAAAAAAAATGTTAACTAAAATAATCATCCTTGTTTTATTAGGTTTAGTTGAAATAAAGGGTGATCTAGGAATGAAATATATAGTAAAAGTATATGAAGATTGTCAACATTCAGATTTGTTACCATGTTTGAAGAAGAAGGCTATATTGTTCTTTGATCGTGCAGCAAGAATGGAATCAATTCCTGTAGTCAATGGTATAGATATAGTCAAAGGATCGGAAGTAGAAATTGCACCTATTAGTGAGAATGACATAGATTCAAATTTGCCTAGAGGATTTGGTAGCAAAGATGAAATATTATCAGCCATGTTATGGGATAGGATTGCTGCATTCGCTAATTCAAGGACGGTTCAGTTTTCATTACCGAAAATGTCTGGTGAAGAACTCAATAGAGGAGTTGAAGAAGGTATGTAATTTTGAATAAACTTAAGTCGTCATACTTACTAATTTGTAAGACTGGAAATAAAATTTCGTTATAAAATTAAAGATTATTTGTGATTTGTTCAAAATTATTATTTAACCAATTAGAAGAGGCTTTTGTATTTTTATAATTACTATCTGAAAATAATATTTAAAACTAATTTGTTATATATAACAAGATTAATCTAATTATTTTAACACACAGATACCCCTTCTCTTATAATCTATCACAGTAATAAATTAAGCTAAAAAAAATCAATAATACAACCTTTTTTCTTATACATAATATAACGTCTAGAAGTAAATAATACATTAATTTAACATTCATCGTGTCCTCGAAAGCTGAACACGATTGAACTTAATTTACTATCAGCTTCTAACTTAAAGGGAACTTCAGTGAAAGCTAAGTTAAGCTACTAACCAAGTTATTCACAATATAAATGTTGCTACATTTCATATTTCCACAGATTAAATGAAACAAAACACAATTCAAAAATGTACAATTTCATAAAGCATATTATTCTTTTTGGTATTTTAAAATTTAAGGATCTTTTCAGTATCTTGTTATGATTTTAGGATAAACTATGGAGATTAGAATGAAGAAAATAAACGATTCATAATCGATGTATGTAGGTTTCCGTTTAAATAGTTGTTGTATATCTGCATAATGATGTAAAATTTAAACAAAAATAGGTGACCACATTATTACCATAATTTAGAAGAACAATTTATTTAAGTTAAATCAATTCCATCGATCGCTTATAATAGAAAACTCTTCAAACCACAAAATAACTACGATAGGTAAAACGTAATGGATATCAATTTATTAAAATGGTCACAGACCAGATTGTCTTTAAGACTAATAATATTATAATAGATGCTTGGCTGCTTGTAGTTTTCCCATCGCTTTGAATATTCTAGTCAACTCACGATAAGTTCTGCAAGTCCCATAAAACATAATAACAATGCAATTTTATAGCGGATGTCATTTTACAAATCGTTGAATACTTAACTTTTACTAAAATCATTCTAAAAGTAACCACAAAAGCATGAGATGTTGGAAACAATTTTATTTATAGACTAGCTGTGGCCCGTGACTCCGTACGCGCGGAATTTAAAAAAAGCATAACGTGGTCTACGTGTTCTTCCAGATTATGTTCTTTATGTGTGCCAAATTTCATCGAGATCCATCCACCCGTTTTGGAGATACAAACATCCATTCAAACATTCGCATTAAATTTTAATCAATTGTTTATATTGTAATTTCATAGTTACTAAAACAGTTAGTGTAAAAATTGCTCATTAAAATACACTAAGGATCACCTCAGTGACCATTGACTTATCTGAGTAAAGCTGATAGTGTCATTATTTTAAAATTATAACCTTTATCATTCCAGGTCGCGGCAAGATGAAGAAAATGATGGGGATGATGATGATGGGAGGTGTGATGAAGTTAGCAGCGATGATACCATTAGCCATGGCCGGTCTCTTCGTGCTGGCAGGAAAAGCTTTAATTGTGTCAAAGGTATAGATGCTTTAATATTGGTAAAACTTCTATAAGACACTTTTAATATAATTAAACAAATAACATCAAATATACAAAGGTGAATGCAAAAATATAATATATAGGAGACATTTGGGTCAAAACAAACATCGATTTATAACAGGTTAAAAACATCGTAAAGTCTGTACATATCTGGGAAGAAATTCAAAGATATGAAGTCAACCCGCACTGGGCTAGTATTGACTATGGCCTAATCACCTCTAACTTAGGGCAGGCTCGGAACTCCTTGGTGGTGACGTATGAGCTGATGTTGATAATATTTGGATTCAAGAAAGTAAAGAATATATTGTCAAATAAAAGTGTAAATTTAACCCTAAATATATCTAAAGTAATTGAGTCTAAGAAACGTTAACGAACGAAATATTTTAATCATCATAATTATGAAACTATTTCTCTTATTTCTTTGTTTATTTTAATTACACTTTCCATTGAAATAATGAATGAAATTCTTTAAAATCTTACTGACAGCTTCAGTATAATTAAATAAATTGCATAGCTTCTACTTCAATAATAGTGCCAAGCCATTCAAACATACGTAACGTGAGAATCGTTTTATGAGGTTGTACCTTACTTTTGTACTTAAGTAAAGTTCAATGCAAAATCTTTAATTATTCCTACCACTATGTTACTAGTATTATAAATTCGGAAGTTTAGATGGATGGATCGATATGAAATTTGGCATACATATAAAATATAGTCTATACTATACACCATACTACTAATAAAGTTTTTTTTAATTCCATGAAAGTTCGTGGGCGACAGCTAGTAATATTATGAATGCGAAAGTTTAAATGGATCGTTATTTTTTATAAAATATATCCAGAACGGCTTTACGGAACTCGATGAAATTCGGAATAGATGTAGAACATATCGTGGTAGAACTCATAGGTTAATAATTAAGTTTTTGGCGACAGCCACTATTAGGAAACGTTACCTTTATTTTATTAATGTTTTCGTTCTTGAATATCTCCAGAGTGTGACAAGGACTTTGAGATGGTTGTGTTGTTGATAAAATTATTTCTTTAAGTTCATATTGTCATATCTTTTTTATACTCAACGTCATAATATTATACTGTTATTTAGTGACACCCCCTAACTTAGGGAAGGCTCCGAGCCCCTCGGTAGGAAGGTATAGTGAGCTGATGATGATGATAATGATGATTTGGTGACGGAATCTTGGACATGTAATTAGTTTCTTTGAGAAAATTCTTCGCATGTTCTACTTTTATTCTACTTCGTTTATTACAAGAACAACTTGTGTTGTGTACTTTTGATTAATGTCAAGATTATACTTGAACCCATTACGTGTCTACGTGAGTGAAATTATGAATAAGGTTCATCTGACATTTGACAAATCATTTGAAAAATGTCTTCAAAAGTCTTTACATTACTGACTGGTATAAGGAACTATGTTTTGTTCTAATTAACATATATTAATTGTAAATTAAGTATTCAAGTAGGTCAACTTAATAAGTAGTTTATGTGTTCTTCCAGAATATGTTCTGCATCTATGTCAAATTTCAGCTAGATCCGTCCAGCCATCCTGGACATCCCTCAATTAGTCCATTCAAACTTTCACATTTATAACATTAGTAAGTTTCATGTCAAACTGTTATCTTGCATCTATAATTATGTTAAGCAATATTTAATGATCTTTGAAAATCAGAGCAAAAATTATTCTCACCTTAGTCCAGTTATAAATAACTTTATACGCCCGTGACTTTACAATTTTACAACAATAGCAAGACGCATTTATCATCAGCCACCGTCAAATGTTATATCGCATTTACATCACGAAAGCGTGAAAATTTTAATTCGTTACAACGCACGCAAATGACGCACTTAGGAGCGAATAATGTAAAATTGTAAAATGTGTCGAGAACATATTTAACAAATATTCTGACTGAATTGCTAACCATTGGTTTCTGAGACAAAAGTCTTGTTATATAACATATCGTCATATCTGTCTCTTTAAACAGACATGACAATTTGTATTAAACGAGGATTTTAGTCTAAGAAACCCCCAGTAAGTAACTTATTACCTAAAAACAGTTTCATTTATGAAGAAGCTTAAACCAATTCGTTTCAGATTTTTTTTATATTTTACTAATATTATAAATGCGAAAGTTTGGATGTACGGATGTTTGTTAGAAGGTATCTCCTGAATAGTTAAGCGGATCTTGATGAAATTTGGCAAAGCTGTAGAACATAGTCTGGAAGAACACATAGGCAATGAAAATATCCTGTTTTTGTTATTATCAAAGTAATTATTATATATTTATAGAGATATGAAAACCAAACATATTTGTGGAATAACTTAATAATAAACGGTTGGTTAATATAAGAATTAAACGCTTTTAAAATATATTTTATATTATCAATAAATTCTATTATACTCTTAGTAAAATCCAATTGCAGCTAGAAAACGATGTTCCGTTTTATTTCTAGAGCGGTACAGTCACGATCACGACTAAACATTACGTTTCGCTTTGAAAACACAGTAATCTAATTAGATAAAACTATGTTAACTTGCTTAAACACGTAGTATAACACAAATATTAACATTAATTTCGTAAAAATATAAGATAAAAAGTAAAACATGAGTTTAAGTAGTATATATATTTGTGGCTGAATTGCCACTGTTTGCCTTCAGGAGGCATTTACAGCTTTAATAGTCACATATAATCATCAGCTCACTATAAGTCCTCGCTAGGTGTCTCCGAAGCCTACCCTATGAGTTGAATAGGTCATAATCAACAACGCTAACCCATTGCTGGTTGGTTGCTTGTGATACAATCACACATATTGATTAGTATTAATCATTCGCCTACTTGTAGATCTCCATATATTATACGAAAATGTAAATTTATTTGAAAATTATATCACTAAAGTAACCGTCTTACGATATGTTTCCGAAACCAAAAACTCGAAAACATCGTCACCCCTATCATTATCTTTGACAAAACGAAGATAATGTATGTTTTAAAACGAGGGTTTTAGTCTAAGAAACCCACTATAAGGTACTCGAGTTCAGAATGCGAATTGAACGAAATAATTATATTTTAAAACACACATAAAATTCGTAATTCAACTTCATATATATCGCGCAGAAACAAACAAGACAGTAAACAAGATATATCATTGTACATAGTCGAACAATTATTTAAAAAAACCCTCGCACTAACAACCACAATGACTGATGACATGATAATCCCACATCAAACAAATACTAATGATGCACAGAAAAACAGTTTTCACAAATTCACAGAACACATGCGCTCTTAATGCCGATGACATTGATGCTCCGATGACATAGTTTATTGTGACAAGAAATATGGAACAACGATGAGAAAATCGTTTGTAAATGTAATAGGAATCTCTATTTAATTACTTTATTTATGAATCGATTGACAGGTTAATAATCTTTTCAAATGGTCCTTTAATTTGCTCGGTTATTAAGCGCTAAATGTAATAATTGAAATTAGACCCATTTCCCGTTGATCGATTGATCTGAAAGTTTTTTAGTGCAATAATATATCATAGGAGCATTCATTCCAGCACTTGACTTGTAATCTGCAGTTCGTGGGTTCAATCCTAGATGTACCAATATGTTTAATTTACATATGTACATTTATCTGACGTCCTTACGATGACGGAAATTGTTATAACCTGCACAAATCTGCGTAAAAATTCAAAATATATGTGTGAAGTCAACCAACCCGCACTTAGCCAGCGTGTTTGACTATGGCCTAATCACCCGTAACTTAGGGTAGGCTCTGAGCCCCTCGGTGGGGACGTGTAGTGAGCTGATGATGATACGGATAATATTATAGAAAGTTTACACGATCACGTTATATACAATCACGGTTGAATCGTGGATGTCGAATTCCGTGACAATTGCACCCATATTGTTGAAATTGGATCATAATACGTGTCAATATTATTGCAGTTGAAACCCACATATCAATAGAACATATCTCTTAAATTTACAAACATATAACATGGCAGTCTCTTTATTTTAACAACTTTAACAAAATCCAAAGATACTTTCTTCACTCTTCTAAAGTAACAATCTACAATAAATTTAATTATTTTCTTTTTTATCTTTCTTTGAATATAATAAAACTATCTGTCGCCTGCGACTCCGTCTACACAAAAAATAATAATAAGTAGCCTGTGTATTCTTTTGCGATGTACGTCAATGCCAAATTAAAACAAATTAAAGCCAGACAAGCATCCATCCATCTGAACATTCGCATTTATAATATTAGTAACATTATAAATCGTAGTTAAAATTTCCATTTTCAAGATATTTTTCCTTCGTTTGCATGTCTAAAGACTATTCTAAAATACAGTTTACTTTCTTGTTAACTATTTGGAATAATTTTACTAGAGAATCTGCATTCGGTATTTTAATGTCGTCATTATTTTTACTCGCCTATTAAGATGTCTAACATTCTAATTTCAAGCATTTCAAAGTTATTGCAAGTTAGTAGAAGGTTACTTAACTTTAATTATGTAGGTGTAGATGTATAAATGTAGAAGCAAGAGATGTATGTCAGCCAAATAGAGGTCCGTGGTCTCTGCCGACCCCTTTGGGTTACGGTTTTGAGTTTTTTTTTCTTAAAAGAGAATTTTTTGTAAAAGATAATGATAGGGATGATGATATGTTTTGTACAGATATTTCGGTCTTAGAAACCCACGGTATGTACAACAATGCAATAAAAAATGCCATGGAATGCTTTGATGCCATCCGGAATATCAATAAGTTTTTGTCTCAAACAGTTTTTAAGGTTAGGAATAAAATGAATATATATTTTAAAGTAATTCTGTTAGCAACAAAACGTTTATAAGATACCGTTTGTTAGTATGAAGATATCTTTACAAATAAATATCTTTATCAAATACTAGCTGTTGCTCGCGACTTCGTTCGCGTGGATATATAAAAAAAAATAAGTGCAGCCCACCCATTCATCCACATCACATCCATCTAAACATTCGCATTTATAATATTAGGAAGGTAAACAAAAACAGCTCTTCAAGGCATAAATTCGAAAAAAAATTACAAATTTGAATAAATAGTATCCTATGTCCGTCTCCTGGCTCTAAGCTACCTCCTCACCAATTTTCAGCCATATCGGTAGGACTGTTCTTGAGTTATAAATAGTGTAACTAACACGACTTTCTTTTATATATATAAATTATTCAATGAAAATAAATCCTATCAAACATAACCTACATACAATGTCTTATATTAATCTTAAGCAAATTAACACGAGCATTTACCTGCTCTAAATACGTAACCAATGTTATGTAAAACCTGTTCTTGATTCTTATTATCATTCGTGAGTCAACCATTATATCAGTAGCCAGTATTGTTCCCGCCTTAGTAGCAAGCGGTCGTTATATCCCGCGTAAATTTATGAAAAAAGAACATCATTTCGCGCGCTACATTTGAAATATTTGAAGAAAGAACATTCCAACGTCGTTCTAAGTAAATCTCGTGCGGCTTATTTTGTTTATTTAAGTCGCACGAGATTTATTTCGATTGATGTTGGAAGAGCTCCGCAAGACACGTGGCTTCGTCGTTTAGGTTATTTTGTTACCTTTTTCTTTTGTATTATTTTGTGCCAGCACTAAATAATAAAGAAATAATCATATTCCATAAAAAATGAATCATCTATTTTATGCAAAATATTAATTCATGTTTGAAAATTGTACGCCTTAACACCACACATTCAAGGGAATTTTCTTTAAACATTGCATTGTAAAAGACTGCAAAAACATTTAAACAACTTAGTATCGTGTGTTTTGAACGAATTTACTTTTGCTGTAAAAATTCAAATATTCATGAATTAACATAACTTTATAAAAATTTTAAATCGTATAAAAAGGTCAAGGTCACAAACACGATCTTAACATACCATTACCGAAATAAATTTACAAAAATATAGTCATGCTTGTCATTCACTTTGAAATAAACAGAGATAACAACATGTAAAGGAATTTCATGACTAACCTGTAATATTATTCTTTTTTAAAAAAACTCACTTAATTTTTTTTTTTCACCGTAGAAACTCAGAAACACTACAAGCTATAAACATTATTTTTTTTATCATCGATTGCAATTAACCTACTTATTTATATTTTCAGATCGCGTTATTACTGGCCGGTATCCTCGCTATTAAGAAAATAATATCACAGAAGAGTAGTGGAGGTCATGAGACTCACGGCTGGTCATCAGGGGGCGGCAGTGGCGGATGGGATAAGAGGTCCCATAACGATGTCTCAGATCTAGCATATTCTGCGTACAAGACTGAATAGATTTAAGTGTTTAACGAATAATGCCACACTTTTAGTAGATAACTACTACACTAAGGGTCTTAGTATTGCTTTCTTATATCTAGTATTAATTCTTATTTCTTACGTACTCCGCTGGCGCATTGATCCAAAGTGGGTCTTAGCCTCCGACACGAGATCGCCAAAGTCGCCTGTCCTGCGCCTTCTCCTGCCAGTCCATCGCTTGTAGCTCCCGCAGATCCAGCTCTACGGCGTCTCGCCAGCGGTACCTCGGCCAACCGATTCTTAATTCTAATTAGTAAATATTTATTTATTTAAAGTCTATATTAAAGAATTAGTGTAACTGATCCCTAAAGGACTGCTTTAGTAATCAATTTTGAGTGTGGTAGTAAGACAAGTTTGGGTTTTCTTTGCTTAATAATATTAAAAATATATAAGTTATATGACATCTCTCTGACTAAAGTATTGTTATTTTAAGATTGAATATGTCTATTAATTATTTTTATATTATATTATATTTAAAAAAAAATCCTATAATCTACGAGTATTTGGATTGGTGATATTATGGAGACTCAATAGGTAACATTTTAAACGATCATGCCTTTTTATACTTTTTTATTTTGGATTATATGAATGGTGAAGATATATGTGAAGTCAAGCAACGCACTTGGCCAGTATGGTTGACTATAGCCTAATCACCCTTAACCTAGGGTAGGATCCGAGCCCTTCAATGGGGACGTATAGTGAGCTGATGATGATGATGTTTAAGTTATTCTAGATAATCATGTTTATTGATTAAATTATTTAATTTATTGTTAATTTTAATTCTTTATCGTTATTTTATTTTTATTTACTTCTTTGGTAAGGTTAATTATTTTATACTTATTTTAGTAGTAATCATTACTTCAATGATATAATTGTTTATTTATGAACAATTTTATGTACTTTATATTAAAATATATAAGTTTGTTTAATGTGTCTGTTTTATACATAAGTAATTTATTGAATTATTTTATTAAATATTTATCCTATCTTATATTTTTTGTATTTATTTTACATCTCTAAATTACCTGAATGGAATGAATCTTAGTATTTCAAATCTCACTGACGAAATACTTGTTTGAAAACATATTTATAACTGTTTTTCAAAGAATGAGAGAATAGGATATCTTACTAGTATTTTTCATTGAACTCTATTTCTTCTTCTTTTATTTTGCTACACGATACACAATAAAAACAATAGACTCCTGGCAGAAAAACTGAAGCTGAGTACCAATTATGTTTTTTTTTTAATTCCGCACAGACGGATTCGGGAGCGACACCTAGTTAATAATATTAGTAAGATGTTAGAAACATGTAACATTGTGTAATGTGTCAACAATATTCCATAATAGGATTGTACTGCACTCGTAATCCAATAAATAGCAAATATGGCTTCTATTGAAACTCTGTCCGTGACTACTTCTTACGCTGAATAACATAAAAATACTAAGAAACTTCTTAATGTAGCACCTGCGTGGTAAGACAAAGAGCATTTGCTTTGAAGCGATACCATAATGAACTTGAAAAGTGTATGGAACTGACAATAAATTTGAATAAGTCGCGTGATTGTATGTCAGTGACAGTTTTTCAAGTTATGGAATCACTTTGGAGCTAATGCACTTTGTCGTACCCCGCAGAATTTATCTATCACATGATGGATTTTGATATCTCTCTGTCCTTGTCCCACTTACGTAGGGTCGGCGCTCCAAGTTTTCGTTCTCCAGATTCGATCTGTCGTCATCTCCGTCGACACCCCTTCTTGATCATGTTTTCTTTCACGCAATTCATCCATCTCTACCTCGGCTTATCCTCTTGTCACGTGCGATTCTTTCCACCTTATAACATGCCCGTACTACGATATTTTAAACACGATTCTTTACTTTTTGCATTCGTTTTGATAGGATTTAGATTTGACTAAAACCTTTATAATAAAAATAATTGGAATTATTATTCAAAGGAAACATAAAAATAATAGATATTAATAATGTAATAACGCCATTGTTGTACTTAGTTTAAGAGTTTATGTAATTAAGTTGACCTTAGTCTGGGCATTGACTTGGAAACCATTCGATTAAGTTAAAAATAAGTTAAAGATACGTTCGAACGTGCTTCTAAGTCGTGTTGGAATTTAAACTTTAAATTTTTTAATACAACTGAATTTATTTGAACACTGCCATCTAGTTATTGATATATAAAATACGAACATTTGTGTTGTTGACAAGTGAGGATCTATTTCCGACATAACTAACACTTTTTAAATTATAAAAGTTAACTTGTACAGTAATAATATTAGAAGAAAAAACTGTTGTTTTAAAAACTTACTTATTGTTGTTTCCATATCCGTATATTCTAAACGTAAGCTTTCACTCTCGGAATTGCTGAACACATATTATTTTATGTATTTACGCTGTAGCACACGACTCCCTCTTCGCGCAATAAAAAAAACTTAATTAGTGACCTAAGTGTCTTTCCAGGCTTTCTACATCTATTCCAAAATTCATACAGCTTTTCTGGAGATACCTTCTAACAAACATACAACCATCCGTTCAAACATTCGCATTTATAATATTAGTAACATAAGGTTGTCAATTATCTTTGAAACAAAAGAACAGCGATAAATCCGCTGTCCGTTTTAAATTTTATATAAGAAAAAACGTTCTTTCCTCTTTAAAAAAACTGCAAAAACATTAAATTTTGTGCATATATGTGCGTCAATGTAAACCTACGTTTGTATAGACGACAGTAAGTGGATTTCGATTAAAACTGGAAGCGTTGCTTCCGTCGAGTGTCGCACGCAACTGAATTACGCACGATCTTTCCGCGATGTTGTTTTTTATTGCCGTCTAATTTTTCGCATGGCCAGGACTACACAAATACTAATAACGTAATAGTCTAATATGGTACTAAAAGTTTAACCATGAAAAAGAAATGTAAGAGAATTGAAAATGTATAGGTATCACGATGTTTTCCTTCACCGCAAGAAGATCGCCTATGAGGTGGACCGACCTGTATCAATGTACTAAAACGCAGCGAGTAGGGGGGAGCGGCGTCTCTTGAAGCGGTTCACTGATACCTGATGACCACGACAAGTGTGAAAAGACTACAACCACAAAGAAGAAGAACGTTTGATAAATGTAAATATGAAATACAAAAATTGAAAAATTCGTTGGTACATATTAGGGATTGAACCTAGACGTATAGATTTCGATCTAATCCGGTCAAGCACTTAGCAGCTGCACCACCGACATTATCTTACTTAAAAACTAGCTGTTGCCCGCATTTCTGTCCATGCGAAATTAAAAAAAACTTAGTAGCCTATGTTTTCTTCTAGACTATGTTATACATCTATGCTAAATTTCAACGACATCCATGGCGCCGTTCTGAAGATTCCTTCAAACAGACATCCATTTATCCATCTAAATATTTGCATTTATAATAAGTGAGATATCAAATTACGTAGAATCTGTAGAATTTGTCAATGCGATTATCAAAAGCAATTAAGTAACGTAATTGTAGCTATCATTATACAAACGCATATTAACTTCACGTTTTTGATGGATTCCTTTTCTATTACTAATTAGGTAAAAAATGAACATTTTACATTATACCAGCAAACAGATTTAATTAAACTGCAAGTTTTTATGACAATACTAGCATGCCCGCGACTCTGTCCGCGAGATTAAAAAAACCTTAATTAGTATTTGTGTTCTTCCAGAATATGTTCTTATGCCAAAATCTAGATCCATGCAGCCTTTTGGAAATAATTTCAAACTAACATCCATGCATCGATCCATTTAAACTTTCGCATTTATATTAGTAACAACTGTGACCCACGATGTGAATTAAAATGACATAATTACATTAAACTTTTTTTTATTACATTACAACAATTTCAGGTATAGCGGGGAGTAGCAGGTTGCGACAGGAAGGCACTGCGAAGCGTGCCTGATGACCTTGAGTCGTCAATAAATATGCGGCATTAAAGTTATGTATACGGACATCTATCGCTCGATCGCGGGTTCGATTGAACCATTCGATTGTTTAATTTGAATCTTGAATATTTCACTCTATAAAAATATTCTGCAACATGTGGATTACCTAGACTATAAGTGTTATTATTAAATAGAAAAGTATTTCATAAAGCAAAGATAATCATAAAACAGATTCATAGTCAAGTATTTGAAAACCTTATCTTAAACAATTTAATAGTTTCTTGAGATGCAACAAATTGGTAATTTGTTCGTTATAATTGAACAAGATAATGTGAGATAAATTTTATACTGCTCTTGATCACGGCACTGTCTTCTACAACAGCATCGCTGTTGCAGATCTAGATATAGCAGCTAAGAATGCTATCGGTCGCCCGCGACTCAGTCCTCTCAACGAAAAAAAAAACATAATTCCTATGCCTATGTGTTCTTCCAGACTATGTTCTATATGTATGCCAAATTTCATCAAGATCTGTTTAGCCGTTCTGGAGATACCTTCAAACTTCAAATCCATCCATCCTTCTAAACATTCGCATTTATAATATTAGTTAGATTGTAAATCCAGTAAGATTTTTTGTTATATGACAATCATGAAATAATTTTAACTCTAGTTTAGAAAAAGCTCCATAAAAATCTATAACAGACTGAGATGGTTAAAGGTTGAGAGATTGAGGCATCAAGTAATTTTTTTAAAAGTGAAAACTCTGACAAGGTAACTATCAAATAACAGTTGAATTATAGTGAATTGTCAAATTATTGTAAGTGGGGCATGTATTTGAGAATATCTGACGTATCAGATGAAGACAAGAATCATTAGCGGAAGAAGCAGTGCGTAGTTTTATGGAGACATGCAATGAAAATGCTTTTTATTTTGGGGCTCTACATTTCGATATCGGAATTGCTAAGCCGTAGGTTCCGCGAGCCCATCCGACCGTGAACCGTCTGGAAAAACGCAAGTTTATACTTACACATGTATAAATATAACGTCGCCCAACGATAGTGATTCAGTTTTGCGCGATCGCTTGATACAAAATGATGGTACGAACGGGGTGAGGGTCGGAACAATTATAGAAGAAAGTGTAGTAACAGCAAATAGTGACGTACCACTCGCCCCAAAATCGATAATTAAAACAATCAATATGATTAGCGAGACGTGGTATCGAATCACAATCATTTCATGCTTAGCCGTGCTATCCACTGCTGAATACGATAACAAACTAACGAAACTTTGGTCTTTATCTGGTGCATCGAAAAGTGATGGATCTGCAATAGTAAATGTGACCAGTGCATCTATTGTGATACAACCGAATGGACAGATATCATCGCGAAGAACAAAAGATTTAAAAGGTACTCCTTCCGATTACAGTTACAGGTTTAGACCCCGAACGATACCTGTCCGAGATCATCAAGACGAGAATGTCTATCATCCTCAAGATGTGAAGTACAAATCGGAAGTACCTTTCCCTGGTAATTATCATATTGCCAAAGAGAAAGGTAGTGAGAGCCTGCATGAATCCCCTTACAACTATGTTAACGATGGTGCATTTCATCCAAGAGCTATCCCTTTAATAATTAATCCAGAATTTCAAGGAAG